ATCAAACCACATAGCGGAATCGTATTAGCAACGGAGAAATGTTTTGTTGAAATAAACAGGATTTCTGGCGGAACGACTCAGATAAGACATTTTAGACTACAATGTTTGCATTTGCATATGAAAAGTATTTGTATTTCATACGGGAAATCAACTAACATATACATATATATATATATATATATATATATATATATATATATATATATGACTCAATTTATAAAGCTATATTGTGTTGAAAAATATTTTATGGCTATGATAAAAATTAAATATGAAAAGTTGAATAGATTAGTGTCTCTATGTTTCCAAGGGATTGAAGATAAAGATAGACTTTTCTAATCACCTACTTTAAAAGTTATGTAAAGAAAGTTAGTTAGAAAGTTAGTTGGCCTATAAGGTAAGATAAAATAATAAATTGGAACTGGTCTATATGCTTATACAATTTTTTTAAATAAAGACTGTTTCTTATATGTATACTAAAGCGTAGACATAACCTATACAAAATATAGGCTATATCTGACCCGATAAAGCAATCTACGCCTTATTCGAATCTGTTAAGTGCCTGAAAAATTAAGAAACCGACAGACAAACTTAAGGGGGTTTAAGGAGGATGAAAATTTCTCAAGAGTTATGAAAATAAATCATACTCGTGTAGGTATATATAATATATATGTACTATAATATATAGTCAATATATTCTATACTAACCGTTAAAACGTAACTAGGGACGAATTCTAGCAAAGCGAGGGTGAAAAAAGTGATAAAATATAAATTTAACAAAAAAGACCTACCCCTAAGAGTCGATTGATTATTGTACTTTACTAACTTTCAAGACATTTTGAATTTTTTTAGTTAAAAAGTAATTATTTTGCTCAGAAAATACATTGAACTAGTTTTTATTCTGAATTACTAATGAAAAGGCAAAGTTTATTTAAAAATTAAATTCTCCCACGCGCAGCGCATTGTAAATAAATGTTTCACAGTTCTGCACGAAAAAATATCCATTACATTTTAGATTGCTAACACCATTTAGTGTGAACTATTCAGGTTACGTCGTAGTTAAAATAACTGAAAACGCTCTGTTTGATTAAACATTAATCGATAGGAATGTAGGCTTTAAAGTTTTAGAGCTATACGCATTCTGTAGAAGTATAAACGTATTCATATATATTTCTACTCGTATTAGTATTGATCAATAAGCTAACATACACCCTCTCCAATTATAATAATTGCAATGGTTATTGCAGTATTTGTTAACTGCAGTTAAAACATTTTCGTTTGCATGGAATATATATATATATGTATGTAGTAAAAGCTTAATATTAAATAAACTTTATTATCTACTAAAGCATAAACAGGTCTATCCTACGGGAAGCCGGTAATATAAGGTATCAACATGTCAAATTTTACTAAATTAAGTGAATAAGTTGTTTTAGTTAACTTTATAGTTTCCCAATAGTTTTCAATTATCCCACGGGAACTCATTAATTTTCCGAGATGAAAAGTATCTAAAATGTTGACCTTTGTTATGTTTGTTGGATATAAGGTACCACCATGCAAAATTTCATTTAATTCCGTCGAAAACTTTCGGAATTAACTCGTACAAACAGACAGAGAAACAAAAAAATTGGAAAACATCTGGATTTGTTCTATTTATCTTCTTACATCCCTGTGACTTGGTTTTTAGCATTTTTTTTCCATGTACACACATTCGACCTCTACAGTTTTATTATATGTGTAGATTACATTTGAGTGTATTCCAGATATATTTACATTGTACATATTTGTCTAACTCGTTAACTAGAAGGTCTTAACAAATCATACAGGCATATCTAAAGATACCTGTATAATGTCTTAACCATATAATGGTTAAATTCCTCCTGAAACGGCAAAAAAGACATGGATTTCTAACTTCACGTCTATTTAATTATGATTAAGAAACCAAAGCTTAAAAATAACTTTTAGCAAGAGCAAAAGCTGGCGGGTTCTGCTGTATTAAAAAGAACACCGTTTAAACATTTAGTAACATCATTGTAAAGTGTATAGAATCGAAAAATTTGTTACTGTATGAAAGACAAAGTTTATGAATGATGATGCTTTGGAGACAATTTGTAAGTTTCTGAAGCATGGGATTAAATTGTCATATATTATGAATAAATTATATATAATACGAATAAACATTAATAATAAGGATTATCTATGTTGGAGTCATGATTAGTATAAAGACCAATGTAAGCATAATTCCGGCAACATGCCGAATCTCAATATGGCACCGGACCCTGTGATCGGATATAATTGGCTTAGGCTTGGATTTTCAGCACTAGAATTATTGAAACCACCTTATAATGTTAACTAATATCAAAGTTTCCAAAATGATTGCTATGAATATTTATCTATACTAATATTATAAAGAGGTAAAGTTTGTGAGATTGTGAGTTTGTGACATTGTAAGGGGTAATTTCTGGATCTACTGAACCGGTTTGGATTAAATTTGGTAAGAAGATACCTTGAGACCCTGGGAAGGACATAAGATACTTTTTAACCTGGAAATCATTCGTTAAGGGGGTGAAAATTTGGATGAAAGTTTGTATAGGAAAGCAAGCTAGGGACGAATCCGAGCAAAACGAGGGCGAGTCGCTAATTTATAAATAAAGTTGAGGTAACTGTCTGTGAGTTCACTATAAGTATCTCTTGTTGAGCTTATATACTGGAGGCTCGTTAAAACGTTTAAACGTTCTACCCGCTAATCGTTCAACTTTGACTAAGAAAAGTACTCGCGAATAAAGCATAATAAGTATTATTGGACGAAAATGACATAGTCTACTTTTTGGAAAACTTAAATAATTTCAGCAGGGTACGGGAAAAAAGGTTTGTGATTTTTTTGGGACGATGCACAGTAAGACCAGTCCGGGGTTGCAAGTAGAAAACACATTTAGAAAGGCTTACTTAAAACTTTTACAAAGGTACAGTATAGATCCAGCTTACTACTGACTAATTCGATTTCCAACTGCTTAGATGACCTACTTTAGGACTTTAGATAGATCACCGAAATGTGTCGCCTTGGTTCACATCACTTGGATTAGAAAGCCCACTTATTCGTAGATTTGGCAAACGCTTACTGCAAATAACTGCCCGAATCGACCTGGTCTAGTTGCATTGCCAAAGGCGTTTATTAGAACAACGATAACTTAGCGTTTAAGCAATGTTTTTTTTACGTAGAACTTTCACGCCTGCTGGTTTAGAGTAAATATTTCAAATATTATCATATCGGAAATTAGTTTTACGAGCAACGTTCAGTTCTTTTTTACTGCAAAACGTTCTTAGCTCAGTAAAACCTAAGTATAAACCTATATAGTTTCTAAAGATAAATACTTGAACCTATCTCGAATCAATTGGTAAACAGAGGAGAAAATAATTTTAAAATTTATCATCATCATCTCCCTGCCTATTTCCCAATTTACTTGGGGTCGGCGCAGTACGAGTTCATCTTTCAGTCTCCCCTATTACTTGTCACCTCATCAACCCCTTTCTCTTTCTTGTCTTGTCTAACACAATCTATCCATATTTTCTTCGATCATCCTCTTCTTCTCCAATTATAAGTCATATAAATATATATATATACATAAAAACAACTATATTGCCTGTATAGGTTGTCTTTAAATTATATTTCCGATGAGTTTGTTTATTAAACATATACAAACAATTATTCATAATTTTATTTATTAACGTAGCCGGAATTCGATATATGTTCGTGGAAAAGTATTGTTTAGATATTCTGATATTAGTAGATAATGACGTCGCTGCCTGAATTATACGTTCAATTACTAACGTTGGCAGTAATTGCACTCTGTGGTGGCCAGAATTATCGAAATAATTGACTGTTTGTACACGCACTTGCACTCCATATATTCGTTTGTATACGCAATATTTGTGTATCCTAAAGTACTAGGGAAAGTTAGTAGTTAGAGAAATTGAATTTATGCCCGGATTTATCGGGATACTAAAGAAGTTCCCAACTAAGTAATAAATTTGTTTCTAGTGTGAGTGCTCCCAACCATTCTAGTTTAACGGTGATATACAGCAACGTTTAGCTCGCGGTAGCGAAAGGGACCCTAATTGTATCAAAGCAGCCGAAGGTATATCAACTGGAGATGCCTTTTTATGTTAAATTGCTATATTGAGTTAGTAAACTCAGTAACTAATACTTTATATTGTTTCTTAAATGTGTTTCTTTTTGAAGTTAGGTATAAGTATTGGGACCTAACTACAAAAAGACCAAACCGACAGCCAAAAAGCGACATGATGAAGTTAGCTGATAACTATTTGTTGCCATGGTAATTGTTTTTATTGTCTAACAAATGATATATTATTCTTTCCTTAAATAATATCCTATAAATATATGATTGTACCTAATGTGCCTTATTTAATTATTTTATTAATTTAACAGGAAGTTATAACATAAGGGATGAAATCTTTAGCTATTTTTGTTCTGTTACGTCAAAGAAGTATAACTTCTGCATAAGTACACACACACGCGTTTTTTTATGTTAAAATAGCTCATGTCAATTTCAAATTGATACAGAATACACATAAGGACTATATGAAGCATTCTCTTCTTTGCTGTTCATCATGGCGTAGCTTTCTTTTCTCTACATACTTTCTCCTCATAGAATGAACAGAAGGATGTTATGATTTTTGTTCTACGACCGCCATGTTAGACATATAAATATCTAAAATTTAATTTATGCTTGTTGTTAAATTAGATCTGGTCTGGTCAAGAAAAACGACAATAAGTTTCGTCTAACCGTTCGATTCAGGTAATTCAAATTAAAAATTCAAATTAAAAAATTCAGGAACATGGCAGAAGTATCAGTAACAATTTAATTTTGAAACCGATTTCTGCCAATCTCACTGAGACTAGCCAACTGCGCAGGAGATATTATGGTGCAAGTGTACGCGCAGACACAACTGCTCTCTCTATATTCTTTTTTTCTCATAGTTCGATGGGACGATACTTCGACACGACCGGTGTGAGTTAAGGCGCAGGACCGACGCCTTTACATGATCTTCGAGGCACGGGGGTACAACGTGGCCTACTTCCCAACACAAGGCTGTTACTGAGAATATCTTAACGGAAAAACTCAGTAATTGAACTTGGCCAGATCCGGGACTCGAACCGAGGACCTCCGGATCTGCATCCGTACATGATAGCCACTAGACCACCGTGGCAAAACATTAATATAATAGATAAACACAGACTCAATTAATTATTCTTTTAGCATAGTATTCAATTATATAATTAAATTTTTCGCTTGATTAAAATTCACAGAGAGAATGCTATGTGCAGCTGTTGAATAAAATCCAACTACCTAATGAAACTATAAAATAATTTATCACGTAGACTAACTTATGGTTCACATAAAGTATATTATAGGAGTTTTGGAAAAAATCTGCATTTTTTTTCAATATATCGCCTACTAAATCAAAGAGCTACATCTAAAATTCCATCTATTGCCCGTCATTCGCCCAAAAGCTAAGTAAATTGCAATAGGCTGTTCAATTTTAGTACGACAAATGAGAATATCTCTCGTAAACTCTAGAACAGTAAAATTATTGCAGCTTCATCTAGATGGTAATCGATTTATCGACTTTTCCATCAATCCACAGTGATTTTCTGGAATTTGTTGAATGCAGTAGATAGAACATATACGGATTAAAGGATAGCCGCAATATTGGCAGCGTCAGAGGGAATCGGACGGACTGTGTACTGAATGATCTGAATAAAAACGGATTCTGTTGAAGCAATTTGAGAGACGAATCTATTGATTTCACATTTTGATTTGTCTTTTACATCGTAGCGCGAGAGTTTTGATAGATTTTTTTATTTGGAGATATTTTAACCTCATTTTCTAAATACTTATGCCCTTTATTAAAAAAATGATTTTCGTAATATAATGAATAGTTTAATAATTATTGTAGATACTTTTGTCCGTTTACCATAATATTGACCATTTTTTTTATTCCACAGGCCCTACTACAAGCGCACGATGTTGTCGCGCGCGAAGTGTATGGCGAAGAATCCCTCCGAGCGTCACCGCCGCCGGTCAACGGGAGGGCTCAGCCCCCCGAAGAGGAGGAAGACACCGAACCCGAGTTCGAAAACGTGACCAGAGTACGCCTCGTACAGTTTCAGAAGAACACCGACGAGCCTATGGTAAGGGTTGTATTTAAAATATTACATATTTGAAAATGTTTTGTACTATGTAATATATGTAGTATGTAATATCTTATGTTTGACTTCGAAAATATCTGATTAGGCAATCTATTCTAAATGAAAACCTCCGTTTAGTTATCTTTTACATTTTAGTGCCTAGTCGGTTTTTATATTTTTTGTTTAAAAAGTTTTTTATTAATTCCTTTTAATTAGTTTTTTATTATTTTGCCGTTAACTAAAGAACAATAATATCGTTTGATCTGAAAATAGATATAATACAACAAATATGAAAAGATAAAACTAAAAAGTTCCCTGAAAATTAGTGACGATCGAATGATTCCTTTTATTTTAATTACATTTATATTTCTTTCTTGTTGAATAAATCGCCAAGAGGCTTAACCTCTCTCCGACAATGGAAAAATTAAATATAAATACTTTTTAATAAAGTAAAGTATCCTAGAAACGTTTCTACATTGAATCTTAAAAAATATTGAAACTGGGACAAGTGTTCGTTTTTCGTTTAATTAAAATCTTAATTTAACCATGCTATTTTATCGTTAGAGCGGAAAAGCTTTGGAAAAGAGTTTGGTCTCAATGCGTCATTAGCAAGTTTAAAAATATGATTACTGTTTAAAGTTTGTATAATAAAAAGTCGAAAGACTTTAAAGAAATCTACGTTAATCTCGTATTCATTATTTTTGTACTACGACGTAGTGAAAGAAGTAGGATATAAATTAAATTCTCTGACATTTCCGATGTTTTTGCTCGTTTCTTAAATATTTTCTTAAAAATAAATAAATTATATATTATTGTTACGTATTGTTAAATATATTATAAACTATTTGCTTTCGAGGGATTACATTATGTGCTTAGGTTTTATATAAATTATATTGTTATTCAAAACTGAAATTCAAAAATGACTACGGGGAAGGTTGTGGATAGATTGGTAGGTATTCGCACGGGCCGTACCGTTTGTTTGACCATACCATGTTTGTATTAGTTTAATGAAGACAGTGTTACGATATTTATTACTGCGCTACGAACGATAAATACTTTTAAATACATCTAGTTCTACAAGTAAAAAAAACTACTTTATAAGTAAAAGGCGAAAAGCTGTATTAAAAGTATTTTTTTTACTTTGTTGTCTTCTCTACGCCCTACAATTGAGGCATCCTCGTACTAGTAATAAAAAAATAAACAACCTCAAACTATAAGTTCTTTCTTTTCAATTAAACTCTTAAAATAACTTTTGAATAGGCAATTTAATTTTAAAAGATTATATACAGTCATTCCATGACGGAGCGTCCTAATTGAAACTAAACAATTTCTCTTTTAAATTTTGACTTCCAGTGATTTTAATACAATATACTCCTAATAGCTATCCTGCCTACGAGATAACTTTCTGCAATTTTATACATTATAGAATCCCATTAAAAGTATAAGAAACTCTTGAGCTGAGTAATACGCTTTGCTCATTTTTACATTTTTAATTTTTCAATGCTTGCGTTACCATTCTGAGAGTTTGTGATATTTAAAAAAAATACAATAGAATATTACCTACTCAACTTTTTCAGTTTTTCTAAAGGGTTTGTTTGAGAGGAAAATGATCAATGGATTAATTATACATACATACGTACATAAGTATGTAATCGCATCGTGTATATATTTAAAAATATATATTCTAGGGCATAACACTGAAACTGGCGGACGACGGTCGTTGCATCGTAGCACGCATTATGCACGGCGGCATGATACACAGACAGGCTACGTTGCACGTAGGTGATGAGATCAAGGAGATCAACGGCACCCCCGTGGCTAACCAGTCGGTCGCGCAGCTTCAAAGAATGCTGGTATGAATCGTTAAACATGTCAATTATACTATATGTTTTTTATTAAAGTTATCTAACATATACATACTAGCGAGTAGCGACTCACCCTCGCTTTGCTCCGGTTCGTCCCTAGGTAAGTTTTAATTTTTTTGGGCGGAACCATAATTGTTTTTCTAAAATACAAGTAGCCTATGTTACTCTCTATAACATCAACTATCTTCCAGTAAAAGTCCCGTCAAAATCAGTCCAGTCGTTTCAGAGATTATCCGGAACAAACAGACAGACAGACAATTTTTTTAAAAAAATATGTTTTTCTTATAAGTACCGTATATGATTTCTTATGCATTTATTAAAACACTGTTATTTTGACATTGCAAACAGACACCTCAATTTTATTTATCTGTATAGATATCATTGTCGATTTGCAAGTTTAATACTTGTATGAAGTAAACTCTTTTGTGATTGGATTTTATTGGTAAGAGCGTCCGTTACCACTGATATAAGCAAGGTAGGTCTTAAATATCCATATAATATATGTAATTTGTTATTTAAAGCAACAAGTATTCACTCAACGTTGGTTAACCATTAAGTAATAATGTTTTTAATATACTATATATAATGAACCAAGGCACATTCCATGTTAAGTGTCCTTGTGGTTGGGTCAATTACCCTTTCTACTGGCTATATGTGGGTGGTAATAAATTAGGTATATTATATGAAAGTATTATATTATATTAACTTTTAATTTAATCTATTTTAATATTACAGATATTTTATTTGAATAAGTACGGTTTTACAATTTAATTTAATTACTATCCTTTTGCAGCGAGAGGCTCGTGGTTCGGTCACTTTCAAGATCGTGCCCTCGTATAGGTCAGCACCGCCGCCGTGTGAGGTAAACAATTTTAATTCTAATCACTTTAACATTGTGAACTATTTAGAGTACTCTTGGCAACCCCTAAAGCTCTGTGTTATAGGAATGCTGTGCATTTTGCTAACTTTATTTAATCAAGGAACTGTATTAATATTAGCAATCGGAGTGTTTTTTAAAGTAGTTTCTAACAGTTTTGTTTAATTAAAATAGTTGTGTGGCACTAACTGGTATTAATAAAACGTAGATGAAGAGTCGACAAGCGCACATAAATCACCACTTGCTTGTCTCAAAGGCATTGTGATCAACTAAATAAACTTTTTAATTTTTTTGTTTCTAACTAGCTATTCCGGATAAAGCCTTCGCCCGTGCTAGTAAGTAGCGATTACCAGAGCCGTTGCTGCTACTTTATGTTGTGTTTCTTTCATGTCTGTATGTTTTTGTGTTGTTTTGTTTTGTTGTTGTGTATTTATTTCCTTTCATGTATGTATGTTTCCCCCGGGCATGGCTGCGCGTCCCTACGTTCAACGTTTCTGTGCGCTTGTTGTTCTTATCATTCCCTCATTATCTCAATCAACAATTTCCATATTATAATATTCTAATTTTATATCACTCACGTTATTTTTCGTTAGATATATCATTTCACTCATGCTATTTTTTATGTATTATTCATTTTGTACTCTATACACAATTGGATTCAGTGTTACGTGCATATGTCGTTTTTTTTTCGAACTATAATCAAATCATATCTGTTGCAGCTATGTCACGATACAAAAATGTGTATTTGTTAAAGTTTTATGTTTTTGTTTTGTTTAGAAATAATTTTTGTAATATAACTTTTACCAGCACTTTTGAACATCTGTTCATTAAACATTCTGCTATTATGTAAAGGCATTCATTTACATCAGATACGTAAGAATTTGTATTCAAAATATAACAAAAGCCACGTTTTCAGATATTTGTGAGAGCACAATTCGACTACGATCCTTTGGAAGATGAGTTGATACCGTGCGCTCAAGCGGGCATCGCTTTCAATACAGGCGATATACTACAGGTAGTATTAATTCTTCTTTTATAACAATTTAACCCATCATTTTAAATATTTTAATAAATAATTTTATATTTTAGTATTCAAATTTATGTTTTATATTTTATTAAATAAATATAACGAAACGTCTTATCGAATGTAGAAAGTCCACATCATTAAAATAAATAAATAATATATAGAAATGCTCTCTTACTTTACTGACATAATAAGTTATTTCTAGGAAATTATCGTTTATATCATCTCTTTCGCCTTTTTCATAAAACATGTAAAACGTTTTTATATGACATGTTATGAAATTTTAATGTCCTTAAAAATTTGATGAATAATTTCAAATAAATAATACAATATTAGAATTATTTAAGATTAATATATAATTAAAGTAAAGAAAAAAAATTCGTCTATAGATATATTTATATAAAGTGGTTTTCTTATCCTCTTATATATATAGTGTATAAATTCTTTATATAGTACTAGCGACTCAGCCCTGCTCGTCCCTAGTTACGGTTTAAAGCTTAGTATAGATTTCTCAAAAATAAGATATTTTCTCGCAGTAAAACGTGTCCTATATATTGACCCGTATAACCAGCTATCATCATACCAATTTTTATCAAAATCTGTCCAGTGGTTTTAACGTGATGCGTTCAGAGACAGACAGCCAGACAAAAATTCTAAAAACTATCTAAATTCTATTCGGCCTCTGTATCGATACTAATGTCTATTTCAATAAGATTTTCCAAGAAATATTTTATATACAGATTCGACTCGAAATTTTATTATATGTATAGATATATAATAGTACCTACAGATTCATCGACGCGTAGTTCTTTAAAGAGCTAAAAAAATGTCACGAACATAAGGGTATCTAGTTAAGCGGAGTTGTTATTTTTATTGCTGAATTTGGATCGCTTATAATTTCTTTCAGTTTGGAGAAATATATTTCTCTAACAAGCGCTATACTCAATACCGTTTAGTGAACGTTTGCAAAAAAATTATGACTATTATTTATTCTGTCAATGTAAAATCAATCCTACTAATACTATAAATGCGAAAGTTTGTGAGGATGTATGGATTTTTGGATGTCTGGATGTATAGATATATGGATTTTTGTTACTCTTTCACGCAAAAACTACTGAATGGATTTCAATGAAACTTTACAATAATATACCTCATACGTCAGAATAATAAATAGGCTGCTTTTTATCCCGGAAAAATGTACGGTTCCCGTGGGATAGATCAATAAAAGAGCTTTCTTGCTTTAAAGCAGTCTTAAGTTACAAGTATGTATGTTCAAATTATTGGAAAATCTCGTAACAAATACCATCACTATACTTATTCCTCGTTGGTCTAGTAGCCAGCGTATACGGCTACAGGTTGGAAGGTCCTGGGTTCGAGTCCCGGGTCGAACCAAAATAGCAGCCTGGAGTGTGAAAGTTGGCGGCGTTTACACTCCCGTACTTCGGAGAGTTTTTAAGATGTCGGTCCTGCCCCCTTATCTCACACTGATTGTCTCGAGTTGTCCTTCGACCTGAATGTGAGAAATAAAAGAATAAAGAGATCACTTGTGTTTACGTATACACTTGTGCACTATATTACCTCCTGCACACATGACCAGTTTTAGTGAGATTGGCCACCGTAACTAAAATCGATTAGAAGAACATTGTTATCATAATAAGTATTCTATAACACAATTTTAGGCTAATGTCACATATATTTTGTAGATTATAAGTAAAGACGACTCCCACTGGTGGCAAGCCCGGAAGGATGCTTCGGGGGGTTCGGCCGGACTCATACCAAGTCCTGAGTTACAAGAATGGCGAGCCGCCTGCGCAGCCGCAGAAAGATCTAACACCGATCAAGGTGATTATAACGATATTTGCGTGTGCTACTATCGCAATGTTAAACAAGAAAGGCTTAAGTTGATAATGTTTTGTTCAAGGTTAACTAAATATGTTTTGGATATCTATATATTAAAACTATTGGCGTCAGTTAATGATATTTTTGGGTAATATTATAAATGTAAAGATAGTTTTTTATGTCTTTAATTAACGCAGAAATAAAGTAATCTAAACTCTTCAAAGTGTTTTTGGATTGGTGTAGCTTCTGTCTTATTGATCGGAGTGTAATAAGTTATTTTCAACTCGATGTTGCTTTTGATAGAATCCACTAAAAATAGACTTTTGCGTTTAATGTCTAGTACCTTTCTATGTATCTTATTGTTGTTTTATGTATTGTAATAAAATTTATATTATGAAACTTGTGTTTGAAAAATTATAGGATCTATCGACGACGTATTTTAGTATGCCATTAATAGCAACTTACGCCTTTATTGTTCTGTATGCGATGTGTGTTTATTGCTATTTTATGAGAGTTCGGTGTTGCTTGGAGCCAGTTTATTATGGCCAGACGGAATTACCTACAGTTTAGATTTTTTAAATAATAACATATATATAATACAAATAATGATAATTTTAGATATTGGTTCATTTTACATCAGCCAGAAATATCAGGATTGACCACTGTCTGGCCATTTTGATATTAGTTTCGTGTGAACCATTTCATCGTCAATGCATCATTGTTGAGAAATCTGAGTACAATTGTATAGTTCCAACATTGGTTATTTTACAGATTAATTTCAAAATTTATCATATAGGTAATTAATCGTACCACTTAGCCCAGTCGGATTAGCATTGAAACTCGACGAAATTCTAAGCCAAAATTTTATTTCACCCGTCTTTAAATATTGGTTCCACGAAAAAAAATGGTGAAGATCAGAGTTGTAGAAATTTTAATTCCACACAACTTTGTTCCTGTACATTTAGGCCTTAAAGTCAATAATAAAAGAGATAATTCAATACCTACATATCCCCCCTTTTTCCCCCTTAATTCGGAAAATATCGATCGCGCGAAAAATGAAATATTTGTGACAAATAAAATGTAGAGAATTGAATAATGAACAACTTTAGTTGTTATGATTTTTCTCGAAAAATTGAAAATCGCCGAGATGTTGAGCCCCTTAAAATCAAAATGGCAGCTAACGCATCACTTGAATTTGGTCGGAATTTTAAATTTAAACTTGGCAGTGAGGCTCCCTAAAGGCTGATGAAATAAAATTTTCTTCTAGATTTTTTTCGTGGTTTAACCCTATTTTTCGAAAACCCAACTGGGCTAAGTTTATTCCCTTGTATTCAGTTTTCGCGGCGACAGTCATTTATAATATCAATATAACCGAAAATGCCTGATCTGTTTACAAATAATTTGTGTATCAAAGACTTACTTTCATCAACACCGTAGCCGTGAACTTCGATGTTTTGATGTTGTCTTAGGATAATTGAAGCGAGCTTTCGTCTCTTGCGAAAACTTTCTACAAACGGTTTATGCTTACCGTTTATTATTTTCTCATATTTAAATTTATAATATTCTTTGCCTCTTCTTTACGCTTTGTCAAGTTTTATGTTACTTTTTACTCGGTGAATATTCGCGATATCATATTTATTTGCTTAGAATATTTTACAGTTGTATTTATTTCAAATATACTCGTACATTAACATTTCACATTTTTTCTTTCAAACATTAACCATCTACGGACAAATCTGCAGTTGGTATGTAATTTTTCGTTCTTTCCAGTAACCTATCAGTTGACAAGCTCCCTATACTTAATGAATGATTATGACGTCATCTACCCTAAACTTGCATGGTATTGATGTCAACCCTTAATAAGAAACAAAACCTTAAATATTTCATGTCTTCATGTACAGAGTGATATAGATATAGATATTGAAATTGTGGGAGTTTGTGTTTTCTGTCAATGTAACATCGTAATTCGTGTCTTCTATTTGGGGGGTGCTTAGTCAAATAATATACGATTATGTTATATTATATATTTAATATATATATATAATATAATTATTGATTGAATTAATAAATTTTGTCTCACTTTAAATAACCAGTTTGCTAAAATAAAATATATTGCCAGATACAAAGTACATTATATAACTTTTCTGCTAAAGTCGCTTGTGAATGTAGTATTGATTTATGGATTTAGTTTATCAAAACCCCATTTGGCTAAGTAATCCACAATCTTCCCATAGTATGCATTCCATTGAGTTGTTTGCATGAATGTATTGTAATGTTGTGCCGCTAGGAGCTGAAGGATGCGTGTCGCATACCGACGGATGTGAGAATACAGGTAAGAAATATTTATTAGATATAAGATTTTAAAGGTAAAATTCGTTAGGTAACGTGTAGGTAAATATTTGTTTTTTTTTTGTATTGTAATAATATGTAATGACTTATGTTTGTATGTATGTATGTATGTATGTATGTATGTATGTATGTATGTATGTATGTATGTGTATCTTTATACTTTGGGATATTATAAAAATATAAGAACTAGTTTTGGCTTCTTTGGTTTAGAATTAAGAAGAAATATATATTAAAAAAGATAATTAAGTATTTTTTTGTGTTTTATGAATGATTCTTTAATAGAGCAAATGTGACTGTTACATTTGATTTTATATTATTTGTAGTGTAATATATAGGTAGAGACAAAGTGTTAACACACCTTTTTTACGCTGTTTAAAAATATGATCATATTACATTTTAAAAGTTATATGAAAAATTCCTGTATCGAGAACGTGATATCGAATGTTTATGCGTTCGGAATTTTTATATACAATTTATATTGTGTTTAATATATTTCTACGGTTAGTTATTCATACAAAGTGAATAATAATCCTTTTGGGTGACCTTTTTGGGTGTATTAGTTATTACGTAGATTTTTAGTTGCTAACGTTATTTTATACATTATGTTTGATTATGTAACTTATACTGTTTATTACATAAAGGAAAAAATAATATATAAATTGCAAATATTTTTGGCAATATATTGCCTAAGATTGTGCATGTACATTCTTTCCACTTTAAAACCTGTCTTGAACAAATTAAAAGAAAACGAAAATCTATAGAGAGAGAAAGAAAACTAGAGAGCATATTTTGACTAATCAATATTTTGTTAATTCTTTTTATAGTATATATCGAATGACGTAATTTTTTGAAATACGGTATTCCTCTTAGTTAGACGATTAAGGTATAAACTATTTTTGACCTCTAAGAGATGAAAATGAGGTGAAAAACAGTTAAATGTAGAATCATTACTACAATTAACATTTATTTACTTATTATAATTTTACCTATTTTGTATATAAATTTAATTTAAAAGTATGCACAGCTTTTTATAGAAGTATTCCATTAAAATTTTATGTGGTTACGTAAGTATATAAGGAGCCATTTCAGTTGTATAATAAACAAAAGAAGAAAAAATCTAATCTAAATATTTAAATACACTTTCTTTTTAAATAAATTTAAACTATCAGAAAAAATAAATAAATTTATTTACAATATTTGAAATAAAAAAGAAACATATATTGAGCCTTGTATTACTACATATTTACTAAGTACCTACATATATGTATGTACTCTTTAAACTTCGTGATAGGCATAATCTTTTTTTAAATAAAAATTTTTTTCTTATAAAATATTTTATTTTTAATATCAGTTTTTTTTACTAAATCGACCGGGACTTTTCATTCTATTTAAATAATTAAATTAGCTTAATTTGCATTTTTAACAATTATGCAAATGGTTATGAAAAAGGGCAAGTTCTGCTGAATTTAATTACCGGCATTTTGCTTCTCTATTATAATCTTTGTGTATACATAAATTTTTAATGAAATCGCTCCATTTGTTTTGATATTTTATATGAAAATAAATGTTATATTTCTTGCTTAGCATCAAAGTCAAGATCTCTCTCTCTCTCTATTTCTCTCTATCTCTCTACCTCTTTGTGTCTCTTTCTATAGCTACTCCCTCTCGATCAGGTTATAGTTTAGTCATTTTCATACAAAGATGTAGGTAACTAAACAAATTCGTTATAATATGTATACGTGCTTTCATGATTCATACAGTATTCAAGCCATTTCAACAATTTAAAGTTAACATTAAAAGATAATTGTTCTGTTTAATTTATTATTTTAATTTATTAATAACTTACGAAGATGTTTTAAAAGTATTTCAACGATTTATACTTTGAGTTTGAAGTTTTATAACTTGTTTATACAAATCTCCGGATCGAAGGTTAGAAAATATGTCGAAGGTTGCTTAAAAGTGAATTCTACTGAATGTTCTCTTTTTATCGAGGAATTGTTTTAGTTATATAATCTAGCCAAATGATTTTAGCATCATGAGTATATATAGGATACGTTTAAAATGTATAAAAAAATTAAAAGATACCTATTCACTTTATGATGATTGTATATAATTAGTTAGCAACCGCTTACTAATAATAAGATATATGTATGTATGTATGTATGTATGTATGTATGTATGTAATAACATATTTTCTGACACGAGTGTTCCCTTTATTTGTTACAGTCAATTGTTCGATATTCGGTCGCAAGAAGAAACAGTCGAAAGACAAATATTTGGCGAAACACAACGCTGTGTTTGATCAACTGGACGTAGTGACTTACGAAGAAGTTGTTAAACTTCCATGTAAGTATTACGAACTTGTGTGCTATATACTAAGGCTTTATATGGATAAACTTTGTTTAGTTTCTAATATATTGTGTTGTAGTTTTTTGAATAATTATCGACGAATATTATGTTAATAAGTCAGACTAAATTTTATTTATTGTATAGATGGAGTCGGCCAAAATAAATAATAATAGTATGTTAAATAAAACTATCTTTTCGGATTATTTCGCGGATTTAATTTGATTTTTGGTTCCCGACGTTTCGAATGCTTTACAGCAATCATGGTCACTGGATAGACTAAGGTCTTGGACGTCTCAAAGGCGTTATATACTAGTGTGATTTGCTGTTTATGCTACTTTTTTCGATTTTTGACATTACATTTTGATTGTTGATATACATACAGTTTACTTTATTTAAAGAATATGACAAATTTTATATGCATATTTGTTAAATTAATATATAATTTTCAAGAATAGAATATGAATAATAAAAATAATATATTCTATATTCTTTTGTATTTTTTAAACATTAGATACTTCTATTTCTCTTGAAATAGAGTAGCTTAATAGTAACTTCTTTTTTTGTTCTTTATTATCATAAAATCCGTTAGCTATTTTTATTAACATTTATTTACTTATGTCTCAAGATACAAATTCTCATTCGTATTTTATTTTAAAACATTACATATTATGTAAAACATTTTTGTTTGGCTTCATGTTTTGGTCTTTGATACTCTGTCGATATTATTATTTAGTCTGAGAATGTGTTATAATAAATAAGTTATATATTTCGAGTAGTTAACGCGTACTTATTTAAAAAAAAAATTAAAATATTACTTATTAATTTTAAATATTACTTAAGAATACTATTTTAAAATATCGTGAGCTTTAAATAATTATTTATATTATAATATACATAATCATTAGTTTATAATTATATGTATTTAATTTCACGTAGGTAATGAAATTTCGTAAATGAAAATACTCGGGACTCCAATCGTATTATAAAAAAAACTTGATATCGTAGCACTGGAAAAGGTTCTTTTCACTAGTTTCTATTATATTGAAACTTTTATGTGATTTTTACGTTTAATATTTTTCGTGAAATTAGAAGATACTCGATGAAAAGGTAAAATGAAATCAACGGTTTTCAGATATATATATATATATATATATATATTAGTGCACGTAGGTATAGCTCGAGATCGCCTAGATAGACTCAATTAGTTTTACAGACCGTAGTGTAAATTAAAAAACATAGCCACGTTTCATTTCAATTGGTCGTGTGGATATAAATATTATATAGCTATGTACATTGAATTGTAAATTTAATAAAATAATATATACATACGTAGATAAAAGTAAACAATATTAAATATTAAAAAAAATAAAGTTAGTTATATATTTATATGTCTGTCTGTTTGTAACGTATATGATATTTACTATATATTTATTTGACTGGGCTTAAACTTCAGTGAGCTTGTTGAGCTTACGTCATAATAAATATCAAAATGCTATGTTACCGTTCGATAGGGGCTCACGAGATAACATGAGATTATTTATTGGTTTGTATGTAACAGAGGCAACCACTTATTAATTTGGGTTTACTTTACACCTCGCGTGTATTATTATAATGTCTTACCCTGGCTTCGCTCGGATGCGTCCCTAGGCACGAGAATTTCGTTCACAATTTTATGGGCTTTAATTTTTTTAACTCCTTATAACATCAGCTATATACTAGTAAAAATCAGTCCAGCCGTTTCAAAGATTACCCGGAACAAACAGAAAAAATTTTTTTTTGTAAGTACCATATACGATTATGATATTATATATGAATTTAGTAAATTTTATTTATTTGTATAGATAAGCTCATTATATTTTATATACGTATGCAACTGTTCATTATTATTATTATTATTATTATATAAGTATTTATCAATTTTTGTAACAAAATAAATATATTTACGCCTATAAATTTTCAAATTTCAGCTTTCCAGAGAAAAACGATAGTGCTCCTCGGCGCTCACGGAGTGGGCCGCCGCCACATAAAGAACACTCTCATCGCACGTCACCCAGACCAGTACGCATATCCCATACCACGTGAGTTATCTTTACTAATCGCTGCAAATCAAATAAAAAAAAATACGTGTGTGTATACTTATGTACGCACTTAAGAAGTTATACTTCTTTGACGTAACAGAACGAAAATAGCTAAAGATTTTCCGTATATATATACACAACTTTCTGTTTGTAAAAGTTATGTATGATAAATTAATAAAATAATTAAATAAGGCACATTAGGCATATTACAATCATATATTTATAGAATATCATTTAAGGAACGAATATAATATTATATATCATTTTTCAGATAGTAATAACGGTTACCATGGCAACAAACAGTTATCAGCCAACTTCATCATGTCGCTTTTTATTATTTTTTTCCAAACGTCCCTAAAGGAGTAAAATTTCTAAATACTTTATTCTATAAAGCATTTTTAAAACTTCGTTAATTATTCATATGTCTTCCTTATCCTTATTAATAAATTTTAGTAGTGTAAGACCATGCAAAAACTACAAATGCCTCGGAAGGTAGTTCTTTTGAGGTGAGCCTAATAGAAACTCAACAGTTGCTGTTTGAAAAAATTTCTGTGCTTAATTTACATTAACTGGTTCCTGTCAGGCTTTATTGGAAGGTAGTGAGTCATAGCTCAGTGGTAACGCGCTCGCTTTGAAACTCGAGTGACGCGGGTTGAAATCCCGGGTCTCGCACTTTTCATGTTTTCTTGTACGAATTAGTCTAACATTTTTTTAACATTAGGTAATCACTTCTTGCTTTAAGGTGGGGGAAAAACTCTTAAGAAGACCTGCTTTTCTGAGGGAACCTAGCAAGTTTTCGAAAGACATGTGAAATTTCTGTTTGTTCGAGCTAATCTCAGAAATTATTGTGCGGATTTCATACGGTTTTCATCATTAGAAAAAAGTGTTATCTTGAAAGGCTTAGGCTTTGACTTATAAACATTTTTCAAACAGCCACCGGTATGATATATGATATTTGTGAATTAAGTCAGAAAAAATCGTTCTCTTTGAAAACTTGTTTAATGGGTCACTAGTTTTATATGTAACTAGCGACTGACCCTCACTTTGCTTCGGGTTCGTCCCTAGAAAAAACCAAATCTATCCAAATGAAAACAGGGAACAGAACATTTTTCCGGGATGATATATATATAGTCCATAACCTTAATCAATAAACGGTCCGTGTAGAACAAAAATAATTTTTCAAATCGGATTAGTAGTTCTCGAGGTTAGCGCGATCAAACAAACAAACACACAAACATACAAACAAACAAACTCTGCCCCTTTATAATATTAGTATAGAGGATGTATGTGATTTTTCGCAGATACTACTAGACCACCGCGCACGGACGAAGAGAACGGTAGACATTACTACTTCGTGACGCACGACGAAATGATGGCAGATATAGCTGCTAACGAATATCTGGAATACGGTGAGTCACTTGGTTTTTTATATTTAAATCTAAATTGTTATATCCATTATTATGTTATAACTTTATACGAATGATGTTAAGTAGGACTAATATATTACATTGGCGATATTCTAACGGACTGTTCCTTTAATTACTATATTTATTATGCATTATATTAGGCATATAGTTATAGAATATCATATACGAAAAGAATATAATATATATTTGTCAGACAGTAACAACAGTTACCATGGCAACGTGGCAATGTATTCTATCTCAACATATGTTGAGACATGAAACACAAATACACACATATTACATATCTTATTGCATAATATTTAAGTGTTTGTACTTTTTAGTGTAGCATTATTTATTAATTCAAACTTCACAACGTTCCAGGCACTCACGAGGACGCTATGTACGGTACAAAATTAGATACAATACGTCGTATACACTCCGAGCGTCGCATCGCAATACTGGACGTGGAGCCGCAAGCGTTGAAGATACTGCGCACTGCCGAGTTCGCGCCCTACGTCGTCTTCGTGGCGGCGCCGTCGCTGAACAATGTCGCCGATGTGAGTTTATACTTACTTTTTTTTTGGGTTGGTTGTCGATTTACTTTGATGATTTGGATTTTGGGTATATTGATTGATTTTTATAGTCATCTTTTATTGGTATTGGGAAGCTCAGGTAAGATTAAAATAACGAACTGACTAGAATTCTCCTATCGTAAGTCCGCAAACGAGAGGTGAAACTATCCTGTTTGTTATCTACACAACACTTCGTTTTGATAAATACTCTGCGATTTTAAATGCAAGACCAAAGTGACAAATTTCATGGCTTTTTAATTTTTTGCGCGGAACCCTAATTCTTGTTCTATAATAAAAGTAGCCTATAACATCAGCTATCTGCCAGCCTATAACATCAGCTATCTGCCAGTGAATTTTCTGTCAAAATCGATCCAGACGTTTTGGAGATTAGCCGGGACAAACAGACAGACGAAAAATTTAAAATTGTTTTTTCTTATAAGTGCCATATATTATCTTCTTCTTCTTCTCAGCTCAAACACTTCCACTGTTGGACATAGGCCTCCCTCAAAGATTTCCACGGCAATCGATCTTGTGCCGTAAAAGCTGTTATTTTGACATTACAAACATACACTTCAATTATGTTTATTTGCATAGATTAACATATTATTATTATCTTTAATATTTTCCAGTATGACGGTTCTCTCGAAGTGCTCGCCCGCGAGTCGGACCAGCTGCGACGCACGTACGGCCACTACTTCGACATGTCGATAGTGAACAACGACATCGACGACACGCTCGCGCAGCTGGAGGCGGCGCTCGCGCGCATGCGCTCCGCGCCGCAGTGGGTGCCCGTCTCCTGGGTGTATTGACCTACCGACTGCTATCTGTGAGCGATAGGAGACCTTATGTCTGCCAACGTAGAGTTTGTTTTTGTTTGAATGTGTTTTGTTTATTATCGCTACATTGACTTACCGACCGCTATCCGTGAACGATACGAGACCTTGTGGCTGTCACGGTAAAGTTTGTTTTTGTTTGAATGTGTTTTGTTTATTATCGCAGTATTGACCTAACCACTGCTATCTGTGAACGATACGAGACCTTATAGCTGTCACGGTAAAGTTTCCTTTTGGTTGACTATGTTTTATTTATAATCAGACATCGGTGTATTGATCTAACGACTGCTATCTGTGAGCGAGTTGAGACTTTATGTCTATAATGATAAAGTTTAATTTTATTTTATTGTCTTTTGTTTTCTTCTAGCACGTGTCTTCGATGTATTGAAGTACTGACTGCTGTCTGTGAGGTTAATGCCACTTTATGTCTATGGTGATAAATTGACCCTTATTTGATGGTCTTTTGCTTGTTTTGGAGTGGATATACTGGATATAATGGACTTTATGTCAATGCAACTAGGTTGAATTTCTTTTGAAGTGCGTTTGCCAGTGCGTCGCATGTATAGATATTATTTCGAAATGCCCATAGTATCAGCTACTGGCTGCTGTCTGTAAGGGAAATGAGACTTTATGTCTACACCGGTAAAATTTACTTTTGTTTTATTTTAAATAAAACCTTTTTTCACGTTATATTTATCGGCTTAGGTTTCGAATGGTTTGCAGCAAAAAACGGGCGATCTCTTCCGTTTAACGAAATAATAGTTTTAATTAAAATATCAAATATTCGCATAAATGTGAGAAAGTATTGTCTTGTTTATAGATTGTGGTGGATAGACTGAACTTTATGTCAATGAGGTAAGATTCAGTTTTGTTTGAGTTGTGGGTGTAATGACCGAATTATTGCGGTATGTGACTTCAAGTAATAATGTGTAGTTTTGTTTGGTTTTGTTAGATTTTTCTTTTATTGTGACTGGGAAGCTCAATAGCTTCCAAACGCTACCTTTACGTGACATGAGGCTTTATTCCCATGCAGCAAGGTTCAATTTGGTTTGGTAATGTTTGTTCTTTTATTTGATTGGGTATCGTGGGTATGTTGATTGACTCCTACGTGTAAGCTGAAAGAGACTTAATGTCTATAGAGATAAGGGTTAGTTTTGTTTTGTATATTCTGAACTTCAGAATTTTGTTTGATTTAGAATGTTTTCAATTTTGAGTTTTGTTAAATGGAAGGAATTAGGAATGGACTTATACGAGGCGGTTTTATAATTTTTGGTTGAATTGAATGTGATTTTACATAAATATTTTAACTGTAATTTTCATATTATTGTTATATTTCAATTATGTATATGTTTCATTTATATGTGTCTTTGAGGAAAGAAAAATTGTTTATGTATTTATATTTAAGGCGAATAATATCAATTGGCTGTACCGTAATTACAAATAATTTATTGGAATATGAAATCCATTTTATTTTAATGATACACATATAAATAATACAGTACAATCGATGTAAGTTATATTACTTATTTTAATAATTAACAGCAAGTACAATTTTATTTTAATGTTGTGTGCCATTAACTGGTTAATGATAAATATAAAGTCTCTTAAATAAAACTATCTTTTCGGATTATTTCGCGGATTTATTTTGATTTTTGGTTTCCGACGTTTCGAATGCTTTACAGCATCCATGGTCACGGGAGAGACTGAGGTGTTATATGTCTTAAAGATATAGTTGTTACAGACAGCCTACCCACAATTAACAAAATGAAAACTGCACCAATTGCCTTACAATATTTTTTAACTCATTCGAAACGTCGGGAACCAAAAATCAAAATAAATCCGCGAAATAATCCGAAAAGATAGTTTTATTTAAAATGTCAAATATTCGCGTAAATCTAAGAAATTATAAAGTCTCTTTTTAGATGAGACTACACGTTTTTGTTTTGGAAAATTGATATTCAATAAAAGGATACAACGATGGTAAAAATTAGATCTTTCGTCGTATTTTTCTTGTAAAACGTATAATAGCTATTTGCAGAATATTTAGTTATGATTTTTTGACAGATTGAATAATAAGTTTCATTTTTTTGAAGTATACGATCCTGTCATTTTCAAAAGCATAGTTATTATGCTTAGGATACTTCTATGGAAAGTCATAATCATACTTAGTTAGCTTTTGTCAATTTCAAAATGACAGAATAAAAGTTTCGCTTAATATATTTTAAATTAAATAAGTCCGTCGAAAGACATTTCGATATGTTACTTAATTATTGAAAAGTATTAATTTAGAATGTTTTGTGATAATTGTTATTATTTATTTATTATATTTTGTTATATTATTGTTTTTTTTATTAATATAATATACGAAGTCGTGATTATTTGGTACAATGCCGCTCAAAACAATTTGTGCCAAATATGACTTATATACGAATAATACGACATCTTGATTGCGGATTTTTAGAACAGTGTACATAAATATTATATATATTATTAGCTAATTTACAAAAAGGGAATAACTCTTTAGAGTGTACTGTAGCTCAAATGTTTACTTCAAAATTTAAACTTAAGATCTATCCTATTATAAGTAATGGCGGTTGTCCAACTAAGATACAATTAGAGTGGTTTTTTTTTTTAAATAAATAAAAAGCTTAGCTTACTTTGATTTTTTTTTATTATTATGGCTTTTTTTTAAATAATTGTCACTATAAATAAAAACATTATGAAAAATATACTTATTGTTTATTTTGCAAAACTTAAAATTGTGTTAATTTATGTGGTAATGAATCTTAATAGTATTGTTTCTTAGTTGGAAAACCTTTTGATTATTATATCACAGGTTTTTAGAATTCACAGGGTTGCAAGGAACATTGTAGTGTTTTGTTCTTTTTTTTGTATTTTTTTCTTTTTTATTTAAATTATTATTAGCATTATTGATTACTATAATAAGGATTTCGAATGCCACGGAAACGTCTGTATTTATAATCAACTAAAATAGTAGGTAATATAGTTTTTTTTTTCATTTTAATGTAAAAAACACAACATTTAACATTCCCATTTCCGTGGTTTTTGGTATTTTTTTTTTATTAATTTTGTTATTTTTTTGTTGTATTTTTTTTTCAATAAGGCGATGCACTATAACATCTTGAAACTATAAATGATTACATTGATTAAGTGAATCGATGTTTTTCTTCTTTCTAAACGGGATAATGATGCTGAAATTATAAACGTGTTAACCTTCCTATCACTGTAAGTATTGCAAATGAATTAGCAGTTTTTTTTTCAATAATAAATAAACGTTATTAGTAAATGTCGGCCTTATTGAATCATTCACTCGTTCTCCATTCACTTATAGCACTTTTGCATTCCTGTACAGATACTACTACCTAGTAGCGAATTTTACTATTTAACTCACTTTCACTATTGTTAATTTAAGAATATTAGGTGTAAGGAGTGAGCAAAATTATAATTATTTTTTTCCTTATTTTTCTATTAAATGCAAAATTTTAAATGCAGGTTATTTACCTCTTTTGCTCAACGGTAACTCTTTTTAGTTTTCTTATAGTATTAACAATCGATTTCTTTTTTATTTACCCTTTAGGCTATCAGTTTAATATTCTTTATTGCCTGCATTTAAAATTGATGTCTCTTTTCAAATAACTCCTTAATTTTCTTCAAATGTAAGCGACGCTTCGTTGTTTTTAAAAATCGCTATTAGTGTGCTATGAAATACTTAATGCTATATCTAACCATTTCTTTACATATTTGTTATAATAATGTTTTGGAATCTTTAAAAAAAATCATTATCTAAGGAGCCATATTAGGTATAAATGTAGTTAAATTTAATATTATACAGTATTGAATTTATAGGTAAGTGTGTGACGTAAATGGCGTGCGAGTAGCACTGTTTTGTTTGACATTTATATAGTGTTGCCATATATTTATAATAAAAAAAATATTTGTTTATTATTCGTATATAACATGCAATATGTGATGATAAATGCTTAGGTTTGATATTATATACATAACGTAATTTGTTTTATATGGTCTTTGGAAAACTATAAACAAAACAATATAAATATGCTTCATCGTTCTCACAGCGTGTTATATGTGATATAATAACAATATTATACAATATAGTATACATTTACAAAATATTGCAACTTATATTATATATAATAAATAAATTTTATTTACTTAGACAATTCATTCCGATATATAAAGAGTTAGCTGTTTCGTTATTTTAAAACAAATGTTTCAATGTTTGTGTGTTAATGTAATAGAGAAATTGAAAAAATGCTATTTACGAATATGTATGACATATTATGGTACTTTTATGTACTTATCAAATGTTTTTTTTTAATTTATATTTAAATAGTATCTATTTATTCAGCCGAAGATATATGCAAAGCATGTTTTGATATTTTAACACGTACGTATCATAGATATAGATTTTAAAATAAATGATTTGCTTCATAGTATTTTAGTTTTTAGTGTTAGACTAATTTGTTAAATACAAAGTTTTTATTAAAGGTGTTATTTATGATCTGTAATTTTCTAATAAATAATGTTATATTATTATTATTATTAAAAACAATAATGCACGTTTATAAATAGCGTGGCTAGAGTAGGTAATGAAGTTAATTTTTATTTCTTTGTTAGTGCTACTCATATATGAAAGAGTGTGAGAGTTTATCTATATATGTAATAATTATTATATTTAAATAAGAGTATTTTCAATATTATATACATCACAAACTTAACTTTGTCTTAAACATTCCATCACAGTTTTTTTTTAATTTATTAGTAGTTTCTTTAAAAGTCACTAGATTATATTAAGTTAAAGTGGTGTTTGAATTTATATAATTATGAGAATAAATACTTATTTGGTTAATTTTAAGGATTTTTTAAATTAATATAATTAATTATGGTATAGTTTTTTTTTTCATTTAAATTATATAAGAATTATCATTGTTATTCGTATCCAAAGACGTTTAAACACTTGTAGAAAATTTGGGAAATACATATATTAAGGTATAAAATGATATTGAAACGACATTAAAAAGAGCAATGAAAGATAATAGTTACCTATTAATTTTTAAACATAACAAGTAAGATAATATACTAAATTTAAAATTATATTAAATCGGGTTGATATAATACTTAATATTCTGTATGAATATCAACTCGACTTCTATAGTAATAAAATGCATGCAATTTGAAATGTATTTAAGGTCAATAAAATCTGTAATCCAGATTTTTTTCCAATAACAACTAACGATGACTGAAATAAAACCTTATTATAACTGTTAAAAATTGAATAAAGAGCACAAAATATTTTTTTGTTTTATTTCTGCGTTTCCTTTATAAGTCTTAAAATTACATTTTATATTTTAATTCTTAATAGATAAGAACCGCCGTAGGTTTGGGTATTTAAATAAAGGTAAACTAAAAGCTCATGTCAATATTATTTCAATGAAGCTTTATCTAATATAAAAGAAAGTGTGTGTGTGCTTAAGTATGGACCTAAGACTTTTTAGAGCATTGAAATAAAAAAAAACATTAAATTTATCATTTTTTTGTTTAGTTTTTGTTTTATTCGTATTCTTCTCAGCAAACCCTTTTATTGGATACCCTTATCATGGGGGTGCATAAAAAGATATAGTCCGCCATCTTTGAGTATCCGCCATATTAGATTTACAATGACATCACTTTGCTCAGCTCTTCGAGCAATAACAAGCATCGTGTTCTTCTTATAGACTTCTCAACGAGAGGGACAGAGACAAATACACAATTTGCCCTTTCTTAAAATCGCAATGGGGCCGAATATGCTATAGAATTACTATATTTATATATTGACTAATATAGTGATCTGCCAAAGTTTATCGGTTACATTTTGTTTATATTCACTTTTCTTTGAACTATGGCTGTTACAGCCGTAAGCCACACAAAATGGTAAAATGTTTTAAAGTTTCCGTATAACAAAGTCTGTTACATCCAATTACTCTTTTATCATTAAAATAACCACAAATATCAAAAACACCGTGAGTCACCAGCTGGTTACTTTGACAAGTGAAATGTGGCTTCACTTCGTTAAAGACGATAGTTGCTTTATTATTACGTCTCTTTTTAACTTACGTCACCTCTTATTAAGATACAGTAGTGAAAACTATAGGTTTATTGGTTTAGTTTAATATGAGTCCTCCATGCTTGTTATTGCTCGAAGGCTTAGCTCATCAAACCCTTTCATTTGATTCCCATATCATAGACATCACTATGGAAATGATAAATCGCCATTTTGTTCCGTCTGCCATATTGGATTAAAAATCGCGGCATTTAGGTAGGTAATCTTGCAGTCACGAGAACCAGACGTGTGTGCCAAATTTCAGCTCAATCGGACACTGGCAAATGGGTCTTTAGCTTGCAATATTTGATTACAGACAGACACCGAGAAGGTGAAAGTTAGTTTGTAATATTTTTTATTTTATCGATATAAAACATGTGTTGTATGTTTATAAAAATAAAGGGAATAATTATTAATACCCTCTTAAAGATAGACATCACTTCACACTAAAGTGAGATTTAATGACTAACTTCACACTGTAACCAATAACGACTAATGTAAGTATTACTGCAATAGAATTCTGATATAAATAAATAATTTCGATTAAATTGTCACATCTTCGGTAGTATAGTGGTAAGTATCCCCGCCTGTCACGCGGGAGACCGGGGTTCGATTCCCCGCCGGAGAGAACTTTTTGTTTTTTGTTTTACCAATATATATATTTTTTTTAAATTCATGTGCATATTTAAACTGGATTAGTTTTTATTTTATATAATTACTTAACTAAAGGTAAACAAAGAGTCATGGGTACTTAACCTTTTATTACCATGGCATTGACATATTTTCAATAAAAATTTTTTTTATTATTTATTCATTAAGCTCAGTATATTTAGGTATTTGACGTAATACAGACGTCAGAGGTATTTAACCTTTAATATAATGTCATTCAGATATAATTGTCAATTGTTTTTTAATATTTATTTATAGAGTTTATCGACAATCACAAATCAAAATAATATCTTCAAACTTATGAAGACATAAGCTTATATACCTACTAAATCGCATTGAAATTAAGTATATTGAAAGTAGAAAATATCCATATATGGTATTTTATGTTAAAACGTGATTGTTGTTGGAATAATTTTTCAGGAGTGATTGATGCAATATCCATCAACAATCTTTCTAGTTTTGGTATAACAGTACCTATTTATCTTCTTTGAAAACGGTTGTAAATTTTTATTTTACATATTTTAATTGTATTTTAAAAAGAATTATATATCAAGGGAACTAAAACAAAGTTTTTTTTATATTAAAAAATGTCGAGAGGTGTCATTGGACACACAAACTTCTTTTAAAGTTAAAAATTAAACTCAACATTAAGTAATGCATTATTCGTTACAAATGAAAACAGATTAATTTTTTACTTCAACAATATGTTTCAAATAAATGAAATTAGTACCTTCTAACGATATAACGACAACGACTCCATTTAAACATAGTCCTGTGTATTACTCGACTAAATAGATACAGAAGTTAATACACCATTCATAAAGCAAATAACCGGCCATTAAAATTTGTATATCTAGACCGGTGAAGTTAAAAAAATAAAAATAAAATTCAAATATATATGTATATTTGTAATTATATAATAATATAAAAGCAAAAAGTTCTCTCCGGCGGGGAATCGAACCCCGGTCTCCCGCGTGACAGGCGGGGATACTTACCACTATACTACCGAAGATGTGAGAGAAATGTTGAAATTGTGTATTTATTTTTTATAACATTAGAAGTATGACATTGGAATGAATAACTATAATTATTATAACAATGAAAATATACATACCTAAGTAAAAATCTTGTGTATCTTAAATTTTTGTAAATCAATAGGTACAAGAGATTGATGTACATACAAAAGCCCAACATGGACAGTCTGCGTCTCAAAAAAAGAAAGCACTAGTCTCGAATGAGGCTCCCTAAACCTGGCCCCTTAGGATTTATTTTTTTTCTAATTTTTGAATTTTTATTTTAACATATCGTTTATTCTTGATTGTTCGTAAATCGTTTATTTATAAATAATTAAACAAAAATATACCTTTAAAATAGCCCCTTTAATCAAAATTTATATTTTTCTTGTTACAAGTATGATACAGATAATGATAGAACCAAATAGAATATTGGCTTTATTCAACAATAAAATAAGACATAGGAAATAATTAGGTATTGACAATTTGATAGTATAACACTGTTGACAATGTCATAATATTATCTAATATTTTATAGAAGGTAATTAAATAACATGTGACCTTCATACTTAACAAGGAGATCACATCAAAGTAGTCTTTAAATATTCATTAAAACTTCTTCGTTTATAAAACACGGTTGTTCTATCATCAAATTGCCTATTTTTTATTCCATTAACATATTTCAATTAGCTCAATTATGACTCAGATATATAATTTTTTTAGATTACTATACATAATGGCAATAAGTAAATACAAATGTCAAATGTCAATGTCATTTTTATATTTTTAATCTGTGTGAGAGTGTATGTGCATTTTGCATCATTTTGAATTTATATTTTTAATTTTATTAGATTTTAAGGCAAAATTATCCATAAATTTAAATTATTTATTAATAATATATCATAAACAAGAATGGCACATCGAGAACGTCGTTCTAATGCTGGCAATCGTATGGCGAAATTGTTAGACGAAGAAGAAGAAGATGATGATTTCTATAAAACTACTTACGGTGGTTTCCAGGATATAGAAGAAGATCGAGAATATGTGTTAGTAATATATATAATCATAAATATTATGTGCTTTGCTATAATCATATTAATATTTATTCTAAATCACAATCGTAAAACGTGTTTACAATAATGCTTACTAGGTGTATAAATACAAAATTAACTGTAAAAAAAGTGTTTGTCTTTCAAGCTTTTTTGCTTACTACAAACTTAATAAATAGTTTTTATTGTTTTAATTTAGAGAAGAAAAGGAAGTTGAGGATGTAGTTGATTCGGATTTTGATATTGATGAAAATGATGAGCCAACTTCGGATCATGAAGCAGAAGCTAAAGAGAAAAAGAAAGTTAATAGTAAAGCTTACAAGGTAATGTTATTGGCCTTTTATAACAACAACTAATGAAAAAATATGGAATGGATGCTGTTCTAAATTATGATACTTTAGTTTTATATAAATTGGCTAGGTTTTTTAATATAGTATGTCACATATAAATATGTGTATAGTCACACTATAAATCTTCTTCTCATGCAAGTAAAAAAGATTTTATCATGTAATAGTAACTTACCCTAGCTTGCTTGGGTTCTAATGGTACTTACCTAGGTGCCTAACGGTAGCCTATCTTTTTTACGCCAGGAATCCCTGGCTATCTGTCTACTATATTTCATCCTATTCTAACCAAGGTGTGAAAATGTAACAAACATACACACATACTAACTACCTTTTGTATTCCTCATATAATATCTTATTCATCTTATTCATATGATAGTATTTTTAAAGTTAAAATATTTTGTATAAATCTTTCAGGACCCAAATAGAAAAAAGAAATCAGAGAAAATAAAGAAGACAATAACGAGAAAATCTAAGGAAACCAAACCAAAAGATGGAGTTGAGAAATTAGACAAAATTGACAAATCTCTATTAGATACATCAATAGGTTTGTCTTTTTATTACTTTTTCCATCACTTTAAACCATAGTTATTAGCGTTTAATTAAGGTTGTAGTTTTTTTTCTCTCATAAGTATATTTTTTTATCAGGCATATGGTCAACTTTTAGAATATATAAGGTACAGGTAAAATAGTATGACATATTTTTTTTCGTTATTCGGGGGCGGAAATGAGGCCTTATCAATACCATTCCTTTATATAACTAGTAAAATTTCACAACTTTAAAAAATGAAGCTTTATCTAATAATGTAATAAAAACTGATATAAATAAACAATTTCGATCCATCTGTCACATCTTCGGTAGTATAGTGGTAAGTATCCCCGCCTGTCACGCGGGAGACCGGGGTTCGATTCCCCGCCGGAGAGAACTTTTTGTTTTTTTATTTTATATATTTTTTTCTCAATTCATGTGCATATGTAAACTGGATTAGTTTTTTTTTGCAATAAAATAGTTACATAATAATATTAATTATGTAGATAATTTTTTATTTTGTCTATTGACTCATATTGTCTAAATAAAATTAATTGAACTCTATGCTATAAAATGCCAAATAAATCAGAGGTTTCAAATAAGCAATGTATTGTATCGTATGTATGTATATGTATCTGTGCTAAAATAAATAATATAGTGTATCTTATGTTAATAATTTCTTATATTTACTCGATCTATCTTCAGATATTAGAACACAGCTTTATATTCGAAAAAGATAGTTCTGTTTAAAACATCTTCTATTAACTTGAAATTTTAACTTTTTAGAAAGAAAGTCAATAAGACAAAGTACAGCGGTAAAATCAGCAGAAACACTGCAAAGAATTAAAATAAGGTCAGAACTAAAGAAGAAAAAGCCTAAAAAAGTGGAAGAGCGTGTTCTCACGCAAGAGGAATTGCTCGAAGAGGCTCTTATAACAGAGAAAGAGAATCTTAAAAGTTTAGGTAAGTTATATTTACTTGTCATTATAGTAAATTTAAATTCCTTGTACATGAAGGCAATTTTCTGAGAAAATTTACCATAGTAATGTACATTTTTTTACACCATCAGAAAGTAGAGATGTAAATGAACAAAAAGCCCACCGACTTTTCAAAAGAGCAGATATTTTGACGGGAGAATTTCGATTGAAAATTAGGGTGCTTTATCGATATTAAGTCAAAATAAGGTAAAAATTTATATTTAAAAAAAATTTACAATGTGGACATAAAAAGGTAAGGTTTCACAAAATTTCGTGATTTTTTGTTTGTGAAAAAGATAAAAATAGAAAACCAACAACTTGGTTATTTGAATTTGTCACAAAAATTTTGAGGCTATGTAAAAAATTTTTTAAAACAAAAGTTGTAGATCTTTTTATTACCTACAACTTCGCTCTTTACCTTTTTTCCATAGGACTTGTAGTTTTGCCGGAAATCGAAATAACCGGTTTTTACCCTTAAAAACTCAACCCCTCCTACTTCCTGACCTCAGATCGCCCGTAAATTATTTTTCCTTTCATTTTGGTTATATTTTGTTCCTTTTCCAATGGGTTTCATGCTACTTTTAACATTTTTTTACGTTTTACCATTTTCAAAGGCGTCAGCCCCGCTTTAAAAGAAATTATAAATAGATTAAGAATTTGATGACGTCATCGATGTTACACAGTTATCTGCTACCAATACACAATTTCGACATGTCTCTTATATCTTCGGTAGTATAGTGGTAAGTATCCCCGCCTGTCACGCGGGAGACCGGGGTTCGATTCCCCGCCGGAGAGAACATTTTGCTTTTTAATTTTTCTTTTTTTTTTCTTTTTATGTTATACATATTTATAAAATTAAAAATAAAATAGTATTATTTTTAGATTTAATATTCTTATTAAAATATGATTGAAAAAGAATCACTTGTTTATATCAGTATGTGATCTGTGTTTATATGTAATTTAATTTATAAAGAAAAATAAGTAATATTATAATAATTGCCCATGATTTTATGCATTTATAATAAATTAAGTATATTAAGGATGGTAAAATATATTAAATTATTTGTTTTCAGAGAGGTTTGAACAGAGTGAAATAGAAAGGAAAAAGATACGACCTATTAAGAAAACCATCACTGGCCCTGTTATTAGGTAAATAGTAATATTAAAGTATAAGTTATACTTTGAACATCATAATATATTATTTAATTGTATTTAATCTGTAATTGTCTTTGATATTTTATAATACTAGCGATTTACCCTCGCTAGTCTCGGATTACTCCCTAGTTTACATTTTAACGTTTAGTATAGATTTCTCAGAAATAAGATGTTTTCCCGCAGTAAAAAGTATCCTATATGGATAACCAGCTAACATCATACCAAATTTCATCAAAATCTGTCCAGTGGTTTTTTCGTCATGCGTTCCCAGACAGACAAAAATTCTAAAAACTATAAATTCGGACTCTGTATCGATAATAATGACTATAACTTCCTCGGTGGTGTAGCTGGCTAGCATGTACGGCTGCACACCCGGTGGTCCTGGGTTTGAGTCCCGGGTCGGACCAAGTTTAGTTATTAAGTATTTCTGTATAGTAAGCCTCAGTAACAGCCTGGAGTTGGGAAGTTTATTTATTTGTTTATTCAAATAGGAAGCCAACGTTGTATACAATAATATTTCTTATTCTAGAGCACACTTTTAAGCATCTGTGATAGAACACTTACAGGCTAACTCAACATGCCTAATATATAAAGAAGAACGCGAAAACAATACAAAACATTCTTTGAAAGTAGTAATTTTAAAAACTTACTTAACAAAAAAATGTTACAAAAAAAACACATGAAAATAAAGACCGCTAAAAAATTATAAACTACTAAAATGTAAATAAACAATACGAACTATAAAATATTTCATTGTGAGATTAAAAAAAAACATAACAAAAAATTAAAACAAACTACGCATACAACATAAGAGGCAATTCTATATGGTGAACATTTTTTGTTGTTGGCGGTGTGTCACCCCCGTGCCTCGGAGAGCACGTAAAGCCGTCGGTCCTGCGCCGACACTCTCACCGGTCGTGTCTCGTGTCGTCCCACCGGAGTATGAGAGTGACAGGAACAGAGAGTGCACGTTGTGTCTGCGCGTACACGCGCTGCACTATAATATCTCCTGCGCAGTTGGCTAGTCTCAATGAGATTGGCCGCCGTGGCTGGTGATGTTCTCCTGATCGATTGGTCAAACATCATCATCAATAACTATTTTAATAAGATTTACCAAAAAATATTTAATGCACAGATTCGACGCAGTTATATAGAATAATATGATATTTATTCTTTGTTTGGGTTCCTTATACGATTTTTTTCTGGCATGTTATAATATGGCTTATGACGGATTTTTAAATTGAAATAAATACTATATTGAAAAATAATAAATTATGTATAACTAGTGACTCACCTCGCTTCGCTCGGGTTTGTCCCTAGTTTGCTTCCCAATACAAATTTTCATCCCCATTTTCCCGCCCTTAAGGGATGATTTCCAGGATAAAAAGTATCCTAAGTCCTTCCCAGCGTCTCAAACTATCTTCTTACTAAATTTCATCTAAATCGGTTCAGTAGACCCAGAGATTACCCCCTACAACGTCACAAACTCACAAACTTTACTTTTTTATAATAGTAATAATAATAATTGTTATTTTGTCATAGATACCACTCGTTTGCAGTACCAGTAATAATTGATGTGACGCCGGAGAACAAGCCTAGTGTCTCTGCTACTACGGATATTAAATTAAGTGATATTATCAAGAAGGAAGAATGTGAGCATTTTTTACATTTTTAATTTGTATATGTACTAGCGACTCACTCTCGTTTTGCTCGGGTTCGTCCCTAGCTTGCTTCCCAATACAAACTTTCATCCTCATGTTTACTCCCTTAAAGGGTGATTTCCGGGATAAAAAGTATCCTATATCCTTCTCAGGGTCTCCAACTATCTTCTTACCAAATTTCATCTAAATCGGTTTAGTAGATCCGGAGTTTACCCCCTACAACGTCACAAACTCACAAACTTTACCTCTTTATATTTAGTATAGATATTATCAGTGATCGTTTGTTTATTTATTTATCTACACTAATATTAAAAAAAAAGTAGTTATACTTCTTTGGCGTAACAGAACAAAAATAGATAAAGATTTCTTACATCACCGCAGAGTGCTAAACACTTTTTTTTATTCCGATTAAAATGTGTGTTCTTTCAGAAATCATAATAAATTTAAATAGAAAAAAAATTGCGGTTTATTTATTTTATTACCTGTTGCTACCTAGTGACGTACCTGAGTGAAGCTAGTGTAAGTAGAGACTAGAATATTACTAGAGAGTAATATTATATACGCCACTTAAATGGCAAACGGTCATCCTTAGTTCCGAAAACACCCAATAGGGGTATCCAATTATCGTCCATACATTTCTTTACTTATAATTTCTTTACTTTTTGAAGTTATTTTGGCATGTTTGGAAAAAAATATGAGTAAAAATATGAGGGTAAAACTTTTACGATGCGCGCGCACGCCGACAGCCAAAAGCGACATGATGAAGTTGATTTTGTTGTCGTTGATTGAAGTTGCATTCCTTTTACAAACAGAGAGTTGTGACATACGGGATGAAATCTTTAGCTATTTTTGTTCTGCCAAAGAAATATAAATTCTTACGTGCGTACATAAGTACACACATGTTTTTTTTTTAATTTTTTATTTCATTATATTTGCAGGTTTAACGCCAGGTGATTTAAGTGAGGCTTACACCCCAATAACAGAAGCTAAAGCCGAGTGGGAGGAGAAAAAGAGTGATATGCCTAAAATAGACCTAAATGTTGTCGGTCCTGATGAAGAGATTAGAATTGAAGATGTGTCTATGTAAGTATTAGTATGTATTCAGCCCTTTTTAGCGTCCCAATGCTGGGCACGGGCCTCCCTACAATACGAGGGGGATCAGGCCATAGTCCACCACGCTGGCCAAGTGCGAGTTGGTGGACTGAACACGTCTTTCGAAAGCTTGTTAGGTCCTCTCAAACATGCAAGTTTCCTCACGATGTTTTCCTTCATCGTAAGACAAAGTAATAATCATGTTAGAAATGATTCGCATATGAAAATATCAGAGGTGTGAGACTCGGGATTTGAACCCGCTTCACTCGGTTTCCCATGCGAGCACGTTGCCACTGGGCTACCATTGTTTATAAGTATATAGTAAGTAAAAATTTAAAACTAGCGATCTAGGTACCTTTTAATGGGTAGTGATTATAAGATATATACCCTATAGCCTTTCTCAATAAACGGGCTATCTAATGGAAAAAGAACTTTTCAAATCGGATTAATAGTTTCTGAGATCAACGCGTTCAAGCAAACAAACACACATACTCTTCCTCTTTATAATATTAGTATAGATTTAATCTAACAAGCGCTTGTGAACATTTTAATTTTTGGTTTTTTATTTGAAAGTACATATGATTAGTAAGAATTTAAACAATTGGTGTTAATAATATTTATTTATTGTTACAGGAAAGAAGAAAAATCTTCAAAGCCCAAAGAAAATGTGAAATATCACGAAAGAACGTTGATTTCATTTGAAAACGACATCAAAGATGTAGCTTTCAACGCTTGTTTCCCACAAAACAAGCCCAAGAGACGGCGAGAACTCTTATGTGCTGTTACTAAGTATGTATAAGTTATGTTTATTTATTTTTAAAAAATATATAATTTATATATCAAACGACGTACTCTAGGTGGCTTTTGTATCTATAGTAATATATATACAGGCAGCGCCATCTTTTGGCGAATTTTATTATTAATATTAGCCTATGTGTTGTTACTCCAGGTTATAGTTTATCTGTTTAATAAACTTCTCGCGGGTTCGTTCATAGGTACGTTTTAACGGTTAGTATGTAATAGATAGACTATATTATATAATATATACGAAGGTATGATGGGTTGTTGTGGTTGTGTTATAACGAGTTTTCCGTGGGAATGAGATTATCTCCCGCGGTAAAAAGTAGCCTATGTCACTATCTAGCATTCCAACTAATCTCCACACAAAACATCGCGCCAATCCGTCATTCTATTTCGACGTGAAAGAAGGACAAACAAACAAACACAATTTCTCACTTATAATATTAAATTATGGATTTAATATTTCAGGAGAACGAACCAGAAGGATTTTATTTTATATAGATCCAATAACAAAACTCCCATACAGAAGTGTAGATGAATTTCATATACAGATATACATACATACACAGAGTTACTTTCTCATTTATATATTAGTATGGATTCTAATTAATTTATTTTATTTATAATATTATTTAATATTTCAGGAGACCCGCCCGCTATATAGATCCAATAACAAAACTCCCATACAGAAGTGTAGATGCATTCCGTATTATACGTGAAGCGTACTGCCAGCAGTTAGAGGCTAGAGGGGACCGGAGCGACCACAAACTGACCGCTTGGTTGAAGGCTAGGAGAGCTCATACTGCTTCGTCGTATGTACAAATACATATTAAATAAATAAATATATGTTATAAGTGCTTGTTGTTTTCTTTAAAATCCTCTAAAAGTGTATGTCTTTAAATTTTTATATTCTTTGATAATGTTGCTATGATGTAAAACGGGATTTTTAGCATATCGGAAACTCTCAAGAGTAAGTGCTAAAGACATTGATGTACAAAAATTCAAGATACGCAATTACTCAAAAGTGTCCTAAAGAAGTGCAAGATTTGAAATTGGATTGCGATTTCTTCAAATCTCTTGTTTATTGATTTTCGGATGTCATAATAAAACGCACGTTGTTTTGTTTAAAAAAGTACTTTATGTGGTGTACGTAAGTTCGAATTTGTGTTAAGACAGTAAGGACTTTCGATTTTTGAATTTTATTCTTTGGTTTCATTTAATGTCACATGTCTGTGCCACTTTTTGAAGAGATATTTGCTTGGAAATGTATATCTGTCTATGTTTAAATATCATAAGCTAAACGAAGTTGAGTTTTTATAGTCGAGTCTTAAGCTCAAAAGTTTTGAACGGTAGTAATAGAATTGGGTGTTGTATAAACAAGTATAAAATTTTCAAAAAAATCAAATGCTATATTGTAAATGTTGAAAATAATACAATTAAAAAAATGATATTAATTAATAATATATTTACCGTTATTATTATGGGATGAAAGTTTGTATGAAACCAACCTTTTAGAGTATTTTTGGGTGTTTTAGAACGAGCGGAGCCGCGAGTTCTGCTAGGTTACCATATTAGATTGTAAAGGCTTATCAAAGAATTTATTGCCTACTTATCAATGCTGTAAAAACTATTCGTGACAAAAAAAAACAAAATTATTTTAATAAACTTTATTGACAAATAAATAATTACAACGATAACTTACACATTAATATAAGATCCAATATCTGTACAAAACTTGTACAATTTAAAATAAAATGTAGAAATATTTTCGAAATTTTTTTTTTAATAAAAATAAGGTACACCAAATACTTCTAATAGCCAATAGTCAGATTCTTTATAAATCAGCAGTAAATGTTGGATTTAATCTTAAATCTGGCACGCTATTTCTTCTTGGTATCTTCTTTAATTCCTTCAAAGTTATTAGGCCAGTGGCATTTGCATCCAACCGTGAATGGTATTTAGAAGGGTCAGTCATAGGCAAATAGGGATATTCACTCAAATATGTCTGCGCATTTTTTATTTTGTTCTCGTGCGCAAAGTCGTTTAACTGAGAAACTGCCATTTCGTACGAATTTAGTTTGCTATCAGCTAAATTTTCCATTGATCTAAAAGTTTCAAGGACAGCTTTTTTATTGGGTATTCCCCTCAAACTACCTTGTCGACTCAATCTCCCTTCCATAACGTCTTCGAATAGATCATCAACATTAAACTTTTCCGATATTTTAACTAATTTTTTGCTCTCAGCATCCTTCTCTTCTTGCATTTGATTCCAGATCTTTGCTATTTCTGATGAAGGCATTGATCGGGATTTTTTTATAGTACTTCGTTTTCTAGGTTTCTTTTCTTCCAGAGATTCAGTAGATTGGCTGCTTGATAATACCTCGTTTTTCATTAGTTTTATAGTTTTTTTATCTTCCCTAAGTTCTTCTAATGATTGGAAATATTTTTTGGCCATCGTGAATCGATTTTTGTACTCAATATGAGCAGTTTCCTTTTCAACTACAGGTTCAACAGGTGTTTCTGGATCTTTTTCAATAATTTCTATCTCAATATCAGAAAAGCTTAAGTAGTTGGGATCTTTGTCGTGATTTGAAATTACTTCAAAATCGAAAGAGCTACTCGCACTGTCATTACTAAAGATTTCAAAGCTCTTGTCTTTCGATAAGGTTTTTCTACGTCTATTAGGTGAGACAACTTCGTTTTTATTCGACTTCGATGGTAACGTGAGATGTGTTGGCATTTCGTTGATCGATGCACTCATTTTCTTTGGAGTTCCTATAACAAAGAACAATATTAAAATAACTTGTATTTCGTAGAGAATGCTATTTTTGTTTAAAATGGTTTTTAAGTTTTCTGCTGTAAAGCATTCGAAACGTCGGGAACCAAAAATCAAAATAAATCCGCGAAATAATCCGAAAAGATAGTTTTATTTAAAAATGTCAAACATTTGCGTAAATCTAAGAAAGTATTATGGTTTCTAAGTTTTCTCTTTTATTCTGCTATTTATGTCATTTCTGAAAAATTAATAGTTGATTTTTTTAGTTACTATGAGAGCTAATAATACTTAATGTAATTAATTTTGCAACATTTACCTTGAACTGAACTCGAGAGTTGCAGGTTATTCGAAGACTTTATAGAGCTAGATCTAGTAATACTTTGTCCTGAACTCCACTTGCTTGATTTAGAGACATCTTCGTAAAGCGAGATGAAATTTTTAACATTTATTTTTGGTAATTCTTCATAAGACTTATGTTTTTCCAAATCTTCGTCTACTGTAACAGTGGCTACTTTGCTAAATATATCCATTTCAGATTTACTTATTGATTTAAGTTTTGGCGTTGTTGGTGTAGCACGTGAAAGGTACAAGTTATTTAAATCTTTTATAGTGTTTTTTACAAAATTGTTACATTTTGGATAAGAAGTTCTAGTTGATGTATATAAAGTTTCATCGAAACTTCTATTATGTTTATTATGTGTCATTTTAGACTGTTTTTCTTTTAAGGAGCTCGCTTTTTCTTGGAAATTATCATGGGTTGATATTGAATATTCTTTTTCTTCTAATTCTATAGAATTTTTCGTCGTAGTGGACTTACTATCTGAATATATACATTTATCACTATCTTGATGTGTAATATTATACATTGATTTACATTTACGCCGTGCCCAAGGTAATTCCTCTGTTTGAGATATGCTATGGAATAATGATATACGACTAGAAACTAGACCACTTTCATGACTAACGTCTTCGATGTTCTTTTTCTTATCATTTTCATTATCCGGTAATCCTAAAAAAGTGTCGATTTTATTTAAAATATGTTTCCGAGAAGTACCGAAAAATCGTTTGGGGCTAGTTTCGAATGCTTGAAAAACTTTCTCTGATAATTCTTGTTTTAAATGTGAATTTGAATTGGAGCTTTGCTCATCGTTATCAGTACTCATATTTACATCACTACTTACTTTTAGTTGCTTGAAAGTATCAATTAAAGAGTGCTCTTTACTCCTTGATGTAGTTTTTCCAAAACAAGATGTTGCCTCGCTTTGCAGTATTGCATCTTGTTCATTTCTGTCAATAACTTTGCTTTCGATAACTTCAATGTCATTAAGTGATTCATAGGTATCCGAACGTGAAAAATTCGGTTTTGTTAATTTATCACAATCATCTTGACTTGTGTTTAAGAAATTTTGGACAATTTTCTTCCCTCTTCTTTTACTTAAGGAATCATTACGACGTAAATGTTTTAACGTCATACGTCTTTTATATTGTAGTGTTTTCATTTCCTCCGATTTTGCTTCAATTTGTTTGATCTTTTCATCCCAATATTTTTTCTTTTCTGATACTATGTTTTTATATGATTGATCACCGAAATGTCTTTCAATTTTTTTGTCGTTGTTATTTTGCTCCTTGTTGTATGCATTTATCTGGGCATGAAGGCTTCGACTTGCTGAAACGGATTCAGTAACTTTCGCCTGAATCTCAGAAATCTTTCCTTCTAATATTTTCGTTTGTCTTTTCACATCTGCTTTATATTCAGATGCAGAATCGACATGGGTTTTGTTACTTTCCACTGTGTAATCAATTCCTAAATTCTTTGATTCGTTTTCTCGGGTCGTTGTTATGGAACTAACTTCAGATCTTGTTACAAATTCGTCATAGATATCGTCAAGCTCGGCAAATGCTTCTGTTACTGAATCCGTCAGCTCATCACTTATTTTTTGCTTCATGCCAGATGCATCTTTCATACTTTTTTCATTTTCCTCAACAATCGGTGTAAATTCATGTCGTTTAACGTCGTGCTTGTGCACTTTAAGATCATCGTCAAGATTTTGATTTTTTCTTAAATCATGATCATTTTGCCAGAGTTCTTTCTCGGCAGGGCCCATTTTTGAAAATGCGCTTGAAAATTGTGATTTTCGTTTATTTACGTTTTCACTACTCAACTCGCTAACATTGCTATCAGACGAACAATTATTGTCGTCAATGCTTACATATGCTGAATCCCAGGTATCCTTTCTAGGAGATATTTCCCTATTTGGATGTAAATGGTCTGTATTAGAGGGTGTTGGGCTACTGCTTGTAGTTATATTTACATCCTCGGTTAAGTTAGAGTCAAAACTACTATAAAAATTGGAGTTATTGGAGCCGTTACTTACTTTTCTTTCTTTGCTAGATATTGTAGGTTCATAATATTCGGTATCTTTAATTGTATTTTTTATACTCCCCGTTTTTACCATCGTCGTTGAAGATGGAGTTGATGACGGGATATTTATTACAGGAGGCAAAGAAACAGGTGCGCCTATAATAAAGTCAGGCTTATCATTGTACATGTTAGATTCATCTTGATGCTGATCGATAAAAGGATTCATAAAATCATTCAAAGATGTTCTTTCAGTTAACAAATCTCTTTCTGGGTTAATGTAAACAGAATCATCACGGCCAGTTACTGCTCCTGTGATTATTTTATATACAGGTGTTTTTGGTCTCTCAATGTCAACGACACCAAGAAATGGGTTTGTAGTTTCGTTAATATTTTTATATTGAGTTTCTGTAAACAATTTGACATTGGCGTTTTTAGTCTCTTCGTTTTGGGAATTATTAGATTCATATTCATTAGGTATGAACGAACCAAATTGTTTTGCAATAGCATAAGTTTGATCGTTAATGTCACAAAGAAATGGATTGGTTAAGGATTGAACAGTATCTATCGACATATTATCGTCTTCAAACGGATCACCTACAATTGTATTATAGTTATCATCTATGTAAGTTTTATTTGTTTTATTGTTTTGAATGTTGGATGCTGCCACTGTCTGTGTATTTATTTCATTACTCTTAGTTTGTGGTTTTTCTAATAATATGGAAACAGAAATATTTTCAGGAATTATAATTTTGTCTCGTCTTTCTGACGATGTATATCCTTTATTCATTTCGTTTTCTTCATAAAAGGTTGAATTTACAATATCTGGTATATGCTGTTTCTTTATGGCTTGCATATTTTTGTTTGACAATTTCCTACTTTGTAAATTCAACAAAAACTTACAAATACTGTTCATTGTTACAACATTATGCGCTGTTTTATAAAACTTTCTCGAGTCACTTTTATGTTTTAGGCTACTGCTATTTTCTTGCTTTTTATCACTGTCATAATATGCTGTACTTTTATTTTTTATATTGTCATTTTCCATTAAATATTTCGCTTCATCTTCAGTAATTTTTTCTAAGCAACCATTTTCTTTTAATAGCATCTTCTCTGTAACAAAATCTACAATTCTTATAACGACTTTCTTATCTGTTTTGATATCAACAATATCGATTTCTTCACCATCTTCTAAACAAAAACTATCCCGCTCTAATATTCCTAAAATATTTTTAGATGCGGTTACTTTAAATGGTGAACCAACGACATTTTGACCTTTGCTAGTAATTGATATTTCGTATTTGCCTTCTAAAGTGGCCACATAACCAATTTTGGCGTGATCTGGCATTATTTCGGTATCGATATCGATGTCGTATTTCGTTTTAGGTATATGGTATGTCTTGTTCATATCATTCTTTCCGTAGCTTCTGAGATATGTCGCGCCTTGGGTAAAAGGCAGTACATTTTCAGTATATGAAGACCTGGATTGTATTCCTAATAAGTTCTGTCTTATTAGTTGAGCTTTGCCTAGGACTGGTGGTAAGACAGTCATTCCATATGTGTCTTTTGGCCCATGTATTAGAATATTTATATCACCTGGGTCTAAAGATTGTTGGGCTGTTGGGTAAATTTTAAAATAAACTTTATTATTCACTTGTGCTGCTACCAATCCAGAACCTCTTGCAATGTAGTTGAGAGTGAACTGTGTTGTTTCTGACGAGTCCTTTTGCGTTGCTCTCGACGGTGTCAATTTTGATAAAGCTATTCGAATGCTATTTAAATAATTTATCAGCCTCCATTCTTGAAGTCTACTTAAGGAGTCATTCAATTCTAGCTCATGTCGCGCAAATACCTGAAAATTAATGAAAATAGTGTAAGTGTAGTACTGGCTGTTCTAGTCGGTGAGTCTCACATAACCACCTATATGTCTACAGGTGGTATGCGTAAATGCATTTCCCAACATAAAAAAGGTGTTAAAATGGAGCAAGCATTGTTTCTTTACTCAGAAACTTAGATCCTAGGTCTCTAAAGAACGGAACTGCTGTAAAAAGTTTTGTAAAGTTTTTTTTAAGTTTTCTATAAACATGACCAATTACTACAAAAAGTTATTTATATTGGCGTGGCTAACCGCAACATTTGGAGAAATTGTTATAGTGAAATTCAATGCAGTTCTTACGTAATAATTTTAAAGTTTATGTAAATCCATCTTCCATGGAAAATTATATGTAATGCCTACTGAATATAATATTATGGTAAGTAAAGGCACTATATTCTATAAGATGGACAAATTTTAAAGTTACTTAATCTTATGGAACTAATACAAGGTAAAATCATAAAAATATATATTTATTTTATCTTTTTAAAATTGCTTGTATTCTAGTAATTATGCCATTTTTAAATACGAAATATTAGCTCTTCTAGTCAATGTAATCCGACCTCTATAATAATAATAATAACCCATTAATAACGTGTGTTAAAATCCCTATTGCTATTTACATTTTGTAATATGTTGAAATTTTATAAAATGTATACATCAACAAGCATTGCCCGCAGCTCCGCCCGCGTTCAGATGACCAAAAACCAAATTATTAGGTTTTACATATTAGTATACTATTACATTGCAGTTTTTGTATTATTTCTCAGAGATGAGACATTTTCCCGTTTTAAAAAGTATCCAATATGTTGACCCGGATAACCAGCTATCACCTTACCAAATTTCATCAAAATTCCTCCAGTGGTGGTATTCTGTGATGCGGTAACAGATAGACAGACAGACAAAAATTCTAAAAACTATAGATTCGGCCTCTGTATCGATAATAATGTTTATTTCAATAAGATTTTCCAAAAAATATTTAATGTACAGATTTCTTTAGTTACAATATTATTATATGTATGGATACAATATTTTTTAAATACGGAAACCGAAGTCGGGACCTGAGGATCTATATCTATACAATAAAAGTGCAACTAAGCCGAATCTTTACATTAAATATTTTTTGGAATATCTTTTTGATATAGACATTACTATCCATACAGAGGCCGAATCTATAGTTTTTAGAATTTTTGTCTGTCTGTCTGTCTGTGACCGCATCATGGAAAAACCACTGGAAGGGTTTTGATGTGATAGCTGCTTATCCGGGTCAACATATAGGATACTTTCTACTGCGGAAAAAGGTCTTATCTCTGAGAAATTTATACTAAACCTTAAAACGTAAGTACGGACGAACCGGAGCGGAGGATGAGTGGCTAGTATTTTATATTAATAACTTTAATAAACAATATTTCAACTAACCGGTTCTACACCGAGGTAATTGTCAGCGATCGCCTGTGCATGTGTCAATGAGAGTCTCGTTGGGGGATGCCCCCCACAGGCGCCAGGCAGAGCTGAGTCTAGTATTCCACATAAAATCCAGCCATGACGCCACACTACGTCCAGATCGTCCACTCTCACTGGTCCTGCATCTATTAACCATTCTAATATATCTTGCTTCTGCTCCTCGCTCGAAAATACCACTGAAATGTTTAAATAGTAACAATTAGTGTTATGTTTATCCATAGAAGTTTTTATGTATTTCTCAAAATTAAAAAAAAGTCTAAATGCATATAATTTAGGAAACTTTAACTGCCTCGGTGATGTAGCATGTATGTACGCAGGTCTTGGGTTCGAGTCCCGGGTCGGGCCAAGTTCAGTTGTTGAGTCTTTCTGTTAAGTAAGACTCAGTAACAGCCCAGACTTGGGAAGTCGGCGGTTTTTCACCCCCGTGCCTCGGAGAGCACGTAAAGCCGTCGTTCCTGCGCCTTAACTCTCACCGGTTGTGTCGAGTAGTCGTCCCACCGGAGCATGAGAGGGACAGAAATAGAGAGTGCACTTGTGTCTGCACGCTTATGCACTATAATATCTCCTGCGCAGATGGCTAGTAGGGAGGACATTATAGGATCTTTTTATATACATATGTATATATTAGAGACGAGATTATTGTGTCTCAAAGATAAGATAATAATATGAAATGATCGTGAAGATCTTTTTGGGATAAACAATAGCATACATAGCATAATGTAAACTATCTCAGTGTCAAAATTATTCAAATTCGATTTAGCCATTCGAGCAACCATACAAAAAGTAGCAAAAATACAGATTTAACTTTGACATTTTTTACAATATATGAGAATTGATAACTTAATACATTAACATAGTGTGATATCTAATACAAAATAATAATTGAGTAAAATACTTTGAAACCTCGTTACAACTACTGATGTATTGTAATTTCTCACGTATTCTGTAATTAATTCGTCATATCAATTGTTTACAAGTTCCAGTAATGGGTATCGAGCACGATTAATCATGGTGCAAAGTGGCATGGTATTTAACTATTAAATCTTAGCACGGTAGGAATTTGTAGGAATGTTGGAATTTAAACGAAGGCAAAATATTTTTAGAGGCATAAGCTATTATATTACTTATTGGATCTCATATTTTACTTTACCTGCCTACGTGTGTAATTAAAATACTGCAATTATTTATCTGTATTTGATATCCGACTGGGCTTTTCAGAATTATATTTTTATAAAATTATTATATTTATATAGTTTTCAGAAATAACTATTACGTTTAGTTAAAAATATAAAAGGCATTTTCTTAATTTTAAGTCATTCTGTTCTCAATATACATATATTTCGCAAGTTCTACTAAAGACTCTACCACGACTTCGGAGAAAATGCTTCAGTCAAAAATAATTAGATTGATTTCCGTATTTAGCTATATACCTATATATTATACATATAATAGTATGGTTAAGCAGTGAGGTATTGAATATGGTCAGTCATTACTTATACCTAGTGATTTCCTGAAAACGGAGAGAAAAATATACGATTGTGACTTTCATGACGTTTATTATTCAAAAGAAAGGCGTTATTTTATATTTAGATACTTTTAAAATACTTATAATAATAATAGGAATAAATGTCTGGAATAATAAAAAATGTGTAAGTTTCAAATTTAAAAAGATTTTTATGTTACCAACAAGTATGATAAGTAAAATAACTTCATTTTTAAAGTAGTTTTAGTATAATTAATCAAAAGTTCGATAACAAGTATAATAGGATATTATGACCTGGACTTTTCGGAAAGTTAGAAGTCGTTATACGGTTTAACGTCGTCCCTAGATAGTTTGATCCTTTCTCGAATAGTGCTATTAATGGAATTGAGTCACATCTAGAAAATCCGTTAGATTCAACGAGCTAAAATGTTGCCGTGATTTTAATTTATTCATTTAAAGCCTAGATTATAATATTAGTTTTCCGCGTGACTTTGCTTTAGGTCCATATGTCAATAAAAATTGCCTATATCGAGATCAAAGTATTTAAATTTCACTCAAATTCATTCAGCCATTACAGAGTGAAGAAGGAACAATGTGAGTTTTTGTACGGACAGTGCCTGTATAAAAACAAACACGGCCTATGTTATAGTATACTGGCATTGCCCGCGGCTTCGCTCGCGTTCAGATAACCAAAACTAATCTTACTTTGCAGTTTTTGTATTTTTTCTCAGAAATGAGACATTTTCCCGCGGTAAAAAGTATCCTATATGTTGACCCGGATAACCGGCTATCACCATACCAAGTTTCATCAAAATCCCTCCAGTGGTTTTTCTGTGGTGCGGTAGCATACAGATAGACAGAGAGACAGACAAAAATTCTAAAAACTATAGATTCGGCATCTGTATCGATAATAATGTCGATTTCTATTGAAATATTCAATTTCCAAAAAATATTCAATGTACAGATTCGGCTTAGTTACAAGTTTATTTTATTTATGTTACGGTCAATGTAATAAATGCAAATAACTTTTACGTTACTTGGTTGATCTAATAAATATTCATTATCTGTAAAGATTTGTATTTTTTTATTATGTTTCCAAATATGGAAAGGGATGTAAATAAATCAATAATAATAAAATTACCTATAATAAATTATTAAAATACGTTATATACGTAATCTTATTTAAAATAATTAATTTATTATCACTTTAACTCTCTGTGTTGGTTGGTATTCGTATACTGGTAATTATTAATAGCTTTCAATTAGTTATACTAACCGTAACATGTGTATATGGGATATAACGTTGTGACTTTAGGTGTAACTTTGAAAGTTTTTGACAAGATTGTATTATAAATAATTTATTTTTTTGAGATTATTAGCTATTTATAGTTAGGTGACGACACGTTTGGCTCAGTTTGTAGTGACCCTACTTGCTGTGCCAGCGGTCGCGGGTTCGAGTCCCGCTGGAGGCATTCATTTGTGTGATGAGCACGAATGTTTGTACTCCAGGCGTGGATGCTTATATTTATAATATGTATGTATTTAAAGTTATATAATTCAACTATCTGTTGTTATATAACACAAGCCTCGTAGCTAATGTACGAGCGACTTACTTTCGCTTTGCTCGGGTGCGTCCTTAAGTTTGAATGGTTTAAGGTACTCATAACAGACAAACGTCCAAAGAAATTGTTTTTGAGCCAGGAACCTTCGCAGGCGTATAAAAAACAATTTACTAGAGTTTCATCACAATCGGATCTATAGTTTAGGAACACATAGAGGACAAACATACGAACATTCATTTTTATTTCCATATATAGAAGTTAGATAAGTAACAAAAAATATCTGATTATATCCGTCACGTCATGATGACTTATTGCGCGACTAAAACTATGTTTTTTGCTTAAATATTTAAGATATTCTAAATTTGTACGTGATAAAACTTCTAGCTGTAGTTTATTCAACCCACTTCTTTATAACATTACCTTAAAATAAGCTAGGTACGTGATAATTTTAAAATTTATATAAAAATTTTAGATTTGCTCATATAAATGTGATAATATTAGCACGTTCCTATTCAGAATGGAGATATATTTTTTGATGATAAAACTTAAATAGATAGTGGTAGCCCAGTGGTAATGCGTTCGCTTGAGAAACCGACTGAAGCGGGTTCAAATCCCGGGTCTCGCACCTCTGATATTTTCATATGTGAATCATTTCCAACATGATTACCATTTGTCTTACGATGAAGGAAAACATCGTGACGAAACGTGCGTGAGAGAATATCTAGCAAGCTTTTGATATACATGTAAAGTCCGCCAACCCGCACTTGGCCTGCATGGTGGACTAAGGCCATATCGCTCTTATTTATAGTAAAGAGAGGCCCGTGCTCATTAGTGGGACGTTAAAAAAAGGGCTGAATATATATATGAATACAAACTTAAATAGTTTATGTAGTCTGGTTGATTTAGAGATTATTTTACACATGTCGTTGTTACACAGAGTTATGTTTCATAGAATGTATCAGATTACAAATAAACGGCGTCATAAGTTTTAAGTTATGTAATAAGTACGTTAGGTAAGTTAGGTTTATTGTAAAGTATGATTAGAGTACATATTTTACAGTAATATGAGTAATGTTTAACATATATTATGACAAATTAACTACCTACTGTTATTAATCAATTAAAAATATGGTAACCTTAAAAATCTTTAACAATTAAAAAATTGCTTTTTAAATAAAAATGCATATCGATTTTTTAATGACAAAATACAAACAGTTCAAAATTTTCAAAGAAATTGCGAAATATATGAACAAGAAAACATACGAACTGAGATTTTTTATATTAAGCGCATTTATAATTTGATTCTCATCCTACATCGGTTATGTTAGTGTTATCAATTAGCCCGTTTAGTAATAAACAGTATATTTTTACTCAGTTCTAGTTTTCGCCAGTATAAATTTGGGTACTTTTTGCTACTAATGCTTTGTTTCTCAACTCATCTCGTGTAATTATTGAATCTACAATCTTCTTAGATCACTAGAACTAGAATCTAATATCTTAGATCAATAGAACTAGAATCACGTCAGACGCTAAGCCATGACGTCATCAAATCCAGTTTAGTTACTTATTTCACGCAACAACGGAGCAACAAAATGGTGTAATTTTTGCATTGAGATAGTTTATGGGGTAGAATATTGATGTAGGCTTCATTTTAAACCATTTTTTGGTTTCAGGCTTATTTTAATTGATGATTTATTCTAAGGAGGCTTTTATACACTTTTGAAGTGTAATTTGTTCAGATTCAGTAGAGAGTCAGTGAGAGGAAGCTATCACCGACTCGAAACTTATTTCTGCTTATAAGAGCCGACATCAACAGTTGCTTTCTTATAATATCAAGTGACAATATTTTAAACATAACTGTTTATTAATTATAGATATGTATATATATTGCCAAAAGCTATCCACAGATTCATCAATAAGAAACTTAAATACTAGTAAGCTTTACTTAATAATATGAAACTATATAAGATATGCATAATACTTACAAGCTCTAAAAGCACAGTCGATATATTTCAGGAACTTGAACAGAAAGCTCTGCTGTCCCCAAAACAGTGTTAGGACGGTAGCAGGAGCGAGGTAGCGTAGAGTCGTCAGTATGACGTCAACTGCGGTAGACAACATGCCTCGCTGACACTCGAATTCCGGATATTCTGGGATTGGAAACAAACCTGAAAATGTAGACAGATAAAATAATATTTTAAGAATAATTGAAAAATTAACAAATTTTTTTCATGGATTAATGAATATGTTGCTGTTGTTTATTTATAAAAAAAAATAGAAAACAAATCTAGAGTAAGGGAATGAATTGATATATTTAAATACCAATTTTTTTCTTTTTTTTTCTTTTAATGGAAAATTTAGTAAGGATGACGATGAAAATTGTAAATATTAAATTATCTACATATTTCAGCTGCTTAACACGTAATAATTAATTACATAATTATTTAAATATTATCGTATCGCAGCAATTTCTTCATTTCATGACACGCAATGACTAGATCTTTTTGGATAGCCTCACATTAACTAGACGTACGAGTAGATATTAAATATTTAATGGAAAATCATAGATATAAAGTGAATACTTAAAGATAAGTTAAATTATCAAATTATTTTTACCGGAAAAGCACCTTTTAACAATCTATAAAAAAGCACATTTACATCTCTTTGGGTGAAGTTTTAAAGTTTATTGTCTACAACTGTTTTTCCGCGACTCCGTTCGTAGTTAATTTTATATATCTCTTTATAAATATATTTCTCTGATGTATTGTAGCTGTTACTGTAAAGCTTCCTCAAAACTCGTTCTATAGTTTTGGCGTATATGAGTAACGAACATAACTATAAGATATGATGATATAAATATATAAATATAATAAATAATGATAATAGAACATATAGAATATAAGCAAGATAGACGAAACTCTTGAGAGATAACTCAATCATTCGGAAAAAACAAAATAATCAGTTCTTAAATTGTGATATCACTACATAGTATAAAACAAAGTCGCTTCCCGCTGTCTGTCTGTCCCTATGTATGCTTAGATCTTTAAAACTACCCAACGGATTTTGATGCGGTTTTTTTAATAGATAGAGTGATTGAAGAGGAAAGTTTATATGTATAATACATGCATATTATAGTACAGAATAACCGAGAGATTAAAAGATTTCTATTTCTTACTAAACGATAAAACGTACCTGGGGACGAACCCGAGCGAAGCGAGGGTGAGTCGCTAGTCTACATATAAAAGTTGACTTGACAAAAAAAGCAGTCATGAAGACTGCCGACAGAAGTGAAAACTTAAAACTATAAACAAACAGTTGTTATTTTTGGATATACAAATTAATTGTTTGATCTGAAATTAAAATTTGTAAATTAAAACTATTTACATTAATATCTGGTTTTGACATCTATCGGCACTCTGAGTGTTAGCGTTAACACGTCCACAGGACCATGTCGATGACGACTTACACGAATTTGCTCCCCATCCAAACTTCTATAAGTTTTCACTTCAAAAATTAGAAACACTTTCTTACAACCGCAGCGTTTTAAAGTAGTAGGAAGTAAAGTAAACAATGTTAACTGACAATCATATATTATAATCTATAAAAGTATCTAGCATTATTTCTGGTATACTGACCAACGCTTCTCGCGTGTCCCTCAACATTTTCCTTGTACCGTTTCGTCAATTCTTCTATTTCGTCCGACATTATTTCAACTTTTTATATACACTTTTTACACAACATCCATCTTAAGCTTGATTTATTAAAAAATAAATGTTAAATTTGCTATCTAGCTTTATTCAAACAGTGGCAGATGAAATTGAATTCGTTTTTTTAACCGACTACCAAAAAGTAGGAGGTTCTCAATTTGCCGGATTTTTTTTTATGTATTGTTCATCGATTACTCGAAGACGCCTGAACCGATTTGGGATTTTTTTTTGTTTCAAAGGGTATTATATAATATATAAATATACTACTTCCCAAGTAGTCCTTGAACCTTGTCATATTTACCTATTAGATATTCATATATTAAATCATTGTCGGCCGGCATCTACTTCGAAAATATCTGATTAGGTATCTATTGTAAATGAAAACCCACGTTTAGTTATTTTTTACTTTTTAATGCATGGAAGTTGGCTTTTTGTAAGTTTTTAGGATTTATTACAATTTGTATGACATTAATCTTAAAACTGTAGTGGTTTTTTTAAATTTAAGTGCGACTAGCAGACATTAATGGCGAATTTTTTTTATTGGCGAAAATATCATAATAATAAGTCGGTCAAAAATGCAAATTTTTAAAAAAATATTTAAAGAAAAGACCTATTTCTATGTTTTTATAACTATATTTTAAGAAACAAATAAACAGTTTCCTCTTTTTCTACTGACCCTGAGTACATCTACTATAGAATAATTAATCTTTAGGTACATATAATAAAATTGTAACTGAGTCAAACGTGTACATTAAATATTTTTTGAAAAATCTTATTGAAATAGTCATTATTATCGATACAGAGACCGAATCTATCTAATATAGTTTTTAGAATGTTTGTCAGTCTGTCTGTGTGTGTCACTTTTAAAAAAAACTTCTTTTTTTTTAAGTTTTTATCTTAAAGCATAAGTTACATTTTGCTATAAATATGAAGATTACTTCAAAATTACTCAGACCCGTTGATTCTTTATTATTTAAAAAAAAAAAGCAAGCCAATAGAGAACAAACGGATACATTTAATTAATTATTTTTCAGAGTATAATATATTTTATTATTATATTGTAAATTAAGCAAAAATGCCAATCAATAAAGTTAGTTTTCATTTCTAGAAAAATCACACATATAATTCGAAGTAGGTACAGTAAGTAACATGAGTAATGCCTGCCAAGGGCGTTACGCACTTGAGATAACTAAAAGATTTTTTTGTAATATCTAGAAAATATCAGTAAAACTAAAATACTTTAATGATTTGACCAAATTAAAAAGGTCACGATCAAATTTTTAATAAAAATAAACTTATTTAATTTAATCTCGTATGAAAAAGAATAAAGAAAATCGGATCAAAATTGGCGAAAATATAATTTTTGTAATAAATCGGTCAAAAATGAATATTGACAAAAAATATTTAAACTAAAGACGTTTTAGCTTAGGTCATAAAAAATATGCAATAATCAAACTGAATGTTTTTAAAAATACATTGCAACAGATAAAATAGCGTTACTTACATATATCTTATCTGGATCGATGAATATAAACATGCAATAAATACTTTTTCGTCTAAACTAAAATGAAACTACTTTTCAGTAAGGCGGTGTCCGAGTGAGATCACTGAAGCCCAATTCATTTGAATCCTAAACCATATCTTATCTTACAACCTGTACGATGAATATGACCACGAAAACATTCCAATCAAATACAACCTTTATTACCAGTTACAAAATCCCTTTTTGGAATACAATGAAATAGAAAGCCTAGAGTGAATCATTGTGCTCAAAACTATGGAGTAATAATGAGTATTTTCAATATGACTGTTCAAATAATTATGATAATTTAGTCAATATCGGCGCTATAAATGAAAGGTTAGCTTAATATACCTTTATTTACTTTTACTATCTATGGGCTGTTCTAATATTATCTGTGATATGCCATAGATAATATTCTGTTTTATATTTTTCAAGCACTTGCACTTGTGGACAATATTTACTCTTTTTGTAATCACTATCTTTATATACGTACATTGTACATATATCTATACATATAGTAAAATTCTGAGTTGAATCTGTACATTAAATATGTTTTGGAAAATTTTATTGAAATTGTCATTTTTATCGATAAGAGGACGAATCTACAGTTTTTAGAATTTTTGTCTGTCTGTCTGCTTTTAAACGCATCACGAGAAGACCACTGGACAGATTTTGATGAAATTTGGTATGATGATAGCAGGTTATCCGGGTCAACATATAGGATACTTTTTACTGAAGGAAAATATCTCATCTCTGAGATATCTATTATAAACGTTAAAAGCTCGCTAGTTTTTAGAATATTTCTGTACACTTAATTTTGTTGTTTAATAAAGACAAACTTATATAATAAATAAACAATAAAATGATATAATTTTATTATATATATCAATTATAAATAGTTTGTTATCTTTGTAGCCTTAATCTTAAATTGGCTTCGGAAATTCCTTGGTTTATCTATAAATACTTTTCCTTCATATAATTTCATAAATTTAATATTTTTTCACAAACTGAGAGGATTCAATATTCAAGTTATAACAATTTAATTTGAACTTTCGATAGAATTTTAATAAAATAATTAATTATTGTAACTTACTTAAGATTTAGGCACTCATGAAATCTTTCAAAAGTTAAAAAAAAACATGTGTGTGTACTTATGTACGCACGGAAAAAGTTATACTTCTTTGGAGTAACAGAACAAAAATAGCTAAAGATTTCATCCCGTATGTCAACACTTTGTAAAAGGAATGCAGCTAACTTGGTTATGTCGCTTTTTGGCTGTCGGTGTGAGCGCGCATCGTAAAAATTTTACTCTCATATATTTTTCTAAACGTGCCTAAAACGTGTTTTAAAGAAGTTGAACTTCAAAATAAATTTTTTACAGAACTCGTGCTTCCTAATTTGTTTAAACTTCACGTGATTATCACCAACTATAATAGAGTAATCTTAATACAAAATTATCTCAAAGCGTGAGAATATTCAAATATATAACAAGGTTTGATTCTTTTGCAGATATTATATGAATATGTAATTATAAATTTTCAACAATAGTACAATCTTATCGGAATTTTCCCAGAATTATTAAAAATATTTCTATTTAGGGTGTGTATTTGACATTGAACATTCATTTGGCTTTCCCACCCTACATAGGTAGGTAAGCATTTGACTGTTCCACGGCTGCTTTACAGTTACTTTAACAAAAATACTATTACTTTCTTACTTTTATTACTTTCTTTCTTACTCTCTTAGATTTACGCGAATATTTGATATTTTAAATAAAACTATCTTTTCGGATAAAACTATCTTTTCGGATTTTTTCGCGGATTTATTTTGATTTTTGGTTCCCCATGTTTTGAATGCTTTACAGCAATCATGGTCACGGGAGGGACTAAAGTTTTAGATGTTTCAAAGGCATTAGGTATATAGTAGTTACAGACAGGCTACACACAAAATAACAAAATGAATTCAAAAAAAAAATCACCAAAGTACCTTAAAATATTTGTATAAATAAATCCACAAAAAAATCCAAAAAGACAGTTTTATTTAAAAAATTCTATTATTAATAAATAGTGTTAATACATATTTTCATAATTTATTACCTTGGGCTTGTTTAATAATACTGAACAAAAAGACTAAAGAATATTTTTTTACAAATATTTGCGCAGTCGGATAAAAGTATCTAGTATCAGTAGAGTAAACATTTAATGTAACGATATTTTATTTATTTCTATGGTGATTAATTTTAAGTTTGATTTTACGAATTAGAATTATTGAGTTTTAGAAGAAATTAGCAAAATTTATATTTCTCTAAGAGAATGCTACCTATATTTCATTGAACTAAAACTTGTTAAGGCGTGGACTGTCAGAAGTGAGAGACAAATTTATTATTAATAATAAAAAAAATGTTATTATTTGTAAAGATACATATTTATTATTAATAATGTTATAATAATTATTACTAATTATAAAAATGAATATTTATTACTAGTATTTAAAAAAAATATATTAAAAAATTTCTTTTAAATTAATTGCAATATCTGCCACAGCGCCAAACAAGTTTTACTTCAACTGCGCGTAAAGGTTACACGCATTTATTTTTTTATACACATATAGGTATATTATGTATGTCCATACTATTAATGTGAACGCTTTCATAACATTTGGTATATCATAATATATCACGTCCTTTGCCTTGTTCATACAATTTCGAGGTTATGGTGATATGTAATACTAAAGCATCATACAATGTCTGTTTCGTGAAGAAAAATGAGTACTTGAGATTAAAAGATTTTGATAATGTCGAAGATGACAGATCACAGTTGAAAGAGTTGAAGTTATATAAGAAAAATGTGACCAATTGCTTTTAACAGATTTATTTAATTTAATAGTAAAAAAAGTTAAATTAATTAAATGTTATGTTTTTAAATTGTTAAATATACTAGCGACTCATTCTCGATCTCCTCGGGTTTGTCCCTAGATATGTTTTAACGTTTAGTATAGATTTCTCAGAGGTTAGATATTTTGCCGCAGTAAAAAGTATCCTATAGACCTTTTTCGACCTTTGTATCGATATTAATTACTATTTCAATAAGATTTTCCAAAAAATATTTAATGTACAGATTCGACTCAGTTACAATTTTATTATATTTGTATAAATTGAATAGAACAAAAAAAGAGAAAATCTAGTGACATATTGCTTCTGCTCATCATCTGATTAAGCATTTTATTGTTGGTCTGGAAGACCTTACGGTCTTAAGTAACTCTTAAAAACTCTTAAGTAAGTCTTAAAAAAAACTTATACAAAAATCAGCACGACTTTTTTTAGAATAATATTTATATATTATAGTTCATACGTATTTTATATCACAACTTAAATTGCACTTATTTACTATCTATAGATACGAGCTCTACCATTTGAGCGAAGCGAGAGCGTATCACTAGTGATGTACAAAAATACTGAATATACTGTAGAAATTACA